AAAATTAGGCCAAAAAATAATAAATTGAATGCTAAAGTTCCAAAATTTATTCTCAAATTGCCTCAGTAGAATGCAGGAGAAAGCGTCGTAGATTTCAAAATTTCCCGGGCAAGCGCCCGGACTCCCTAGCAAGGCGTGCCGACAACTCTCTCCCCCCCCCCCCTTGCATATCAGTATCACCCCCCCCCCCGTATTCCTGAAAGATAGATTCGCCACAGTTCCCTTAAAACATCCTCCAGAGCCATGAATCAGACGAAAAAGGCGAAAAGTCAGTAGGACTTGATTAAAACACTATATAAGAAAGACAAAGATAATTCACTTTTTGGTGAAGTTTTTTTAAAACTGCGGGTATTCGAACCTACAGCATGTGGACATCCAACCTAGCGCAGCAGACCACAGTGATTTCATGCTTACCACCGTGGAATCTAAACCACTATGAAGTTATTTCAAATCACATTACATACCTGTTCAATCACGTGATATGTGCCATGATTATTGCCATCCGCCCGCACTTTTTTTTTCACAAATGTAAAGGGCAAGTTACGAAGAATAACAACAGAGGGCGCTATAGTAAATAAAGTCACTATCTCTAGATGTCTGATAAGATTTAATCAGCTGTAAATCATTTCAATTGGCCTGCAATACGGGAGATTCACAATAGTGCGCCTCCAAGAGTTTGCAACGCGTTGGCCAATCACAATGCGCAAAAGGTCGACTGATTTCGCGCATTGTGATTGGTCAACGCGTTGCGAACTCTTGGAGGCACAGTATTGTGAATCGCCCGTATTGTCGCGCAACTTAAGTAACCCAATAGCGTAACCTTGTCGACAAGTGTCGTCTGTGGATTTTGTTACTCAACTTAAATCCCACGGCACGTTGTCCTTTAAAAAAAAATCACTTTTTGGACTTTGATAAAGTAAAGGGTTTAAAGCTAACTTCAAACGTTTCTTCTTTGGAGAAGGTCTGAAAACCTATATTGCAATTTATTCCAATTGTAAAGTGCACAATTGCCCTTAAGCATTCGCCCTATCCAAAATCGGCGGTCGGTGGCGAATGGTGGAGGGGGGGGGGGTATTATGCGGGTGAATAATAATCTCTCTCACAGAAATGTGTGAAGGAAATATACAAAGTATAAAGTCTCAAATATTATTCAACTTGAATATTACAACATTGATTTATGAAGTTCACAATAATGACCGCCAAAGTTACATGTAGTCCTACATTGACAATGGCACAATCGTCTTTATTTCCAAACAAAATACGAACTACGTTTTATGATCGCCAGATATATTTCGATATTATGGTGACCAAAGATTAAACTATGGAACTATTATCTAGTATATATATATACTAACGCGTTCGCAGTGCACACAAGCTAATGCCTAAAAGCGTATATTAACAGTGTATTAATTTATTAAAAAGTATAATAATAAGACCTTTTAATCTCTTTAAAGGTGGCTTATATGACAGATAGATATATTTCAATAAGATTATAGTGCCCACAGATTTAGCCGTGGAATTATATCTAGAACTAAAACGTCCACATAGACATTTCTCGGATACGCCATCTTGAAAATCATAGCGAGGCAAATAACGCAACAAACATGGCGGCGTAATTAGTGTGTGCGGTGAACGAGTGGCTCTCGCAAAGTAACAGCAGATTGACAATCTTATAAAAAGATGGATAGCTCAAATTCACCCGAAACATCTATTCGTATTCTAGGTACGTCATTTTTTATTGCATTTTGAAGAATGATCTTAGAATATAAAGCCTAAAACAGTGGCCGGACTGAGTACTCACTAAAAAAATGTACGTGTAGTACCCACCAAAAATGAAAAGTAAATGAAAGATGACATGTTGAACATCATATTTCTGTGAGAATTATGAGTATTTTAAAAAGAGTTTTGAAGTATGGGCATTTAGCACTGGTGTCTGTGGGAATTTTAATACAGGGGTGTATCCTTAGAGACTAGAGACTGCGGGTTCAATATCATTCCAGCCACATGTGGGTAACTTCTTAGAAATGCTGTGATCCATATTATTAATATTAACTGCACGACGCGTGATTTACAGCTGTGTGGTTGCGAAAGCCTAAGCGTCCCCGTTGTTAAACAAAGTTAATCCAATTATGTTCTTAGACGCTTTAACAGAACAGTAAAATTCATGCATCCCCAAAAAGCATGGCCTTTTGAACGTTGTGTTCCTCAGAAAATATGCTCAGTATGATTGAAATGTTAAATTATAACGGAAGAAGAAATTCTTAACTTCATGTCAGTGAAACAGTTGCCGTTATTGATGCCGAAACGTCAACACTGGTTACTGGTAAAGCTGACTTAAAGTCGGGAAGAATCGTTCGAAAACGTCCCCAAATCTATGTATTTATCTCAATTTCTAGGAATCTCCTCAAGCTGTTATTTCACGATTAGTTAAACACTTAATCATCTAAGTAAGTCCCGAATTTCAGCTGCAAACGCTTGTGTTACACCTTGAACTATCTCCAAGGTAAATTTTGAAGAGGATTTTTTTTCCGACCAAATTAACTCACGTGCATGGTTTTCAGGTTGGCCGATTTTGGGCAACAATGACGAAGCACATAATAAGCATATTTATTAGCGTGACTTGGCGTGACTACGATTGGGTCTCGGTATCGTCCAATGGAATTCGGCAAAAAGGGTGATATTTATCAATTAATAACTCGTGAAGGAGGCTTTTCTGCAACTTTTTATAATATATTCGTGAGGCTTGAAAAAGTTTGACAGATATTGCAAACACCAGTGTTACAACTTTTAAAAATAGCCAGGCCTATTTTTCCAATTTCAACGAAAAGTACTGAATATATCAAAACGCTTTTTAGCACATCATTGGATCATTATAAGGGAAATAAACCCTGAAGGTTGCATGAATTGAGATACGGTCTTCCAAACGGGAGCAATTAATTTTCAAAGATTTCGCCCGCCAACGTGAACATGTCTGTGTGCATGTTGTTCATTCAAAATAAAGTATTACGTATCCTTTAGAAATCTACGGAAGCGTAGAAGGGCCAACAGAAATTAAGAAAAAAATTGTTCCTATCTCGCCGCGGGGAATTACTATCTCGCCGCGACGAAATACTAGTTCGCTCAACCCCCACTGAAAATTTGGCATCCGTAGAAAAACACCTATGTGAGATACCATGCGTAATTAGCTGGAAGAATATAGGCCTAAGTCAATTTTTTTCCGCAGCGATTTTGTGTGCATTTTTTCCCGCGAATAACGGTTCCTTGAAAATCCAATTGCGGTAGTTATTATTAGTTATCCCGCGAGCGCGAGTGGAACACGGAATAATGTAGTTTGTCTAGTGGCCCGGCCGAGTGGTATGTGGGACACTAGACTAGGGCGGGTATTGGGCGGGTATCCGGTGAAGAAACCCTGTCTCACGGCCTTTCAGCACGGATGACATTTTGTGGCGCCCTCCATTGCAATCTCAAGCCTCCCCCTCCACGTCCCCTAGGACGTACGTACGCCGCTGCCTCTTTGGCGTTCCATAGGACCCGGAGGGATCGCGATTGTCGTGCCCGACGCCCACCGATACAAAATAGTAATTCGCCGCGGCGAGATAGGCTGCGGCGCGATAGTAACTATTTTTTTCCTAATTTCTTTTGGTCCTTTTACGCTTCCGTAGAAATCGGCCTTCTCAACCACAATGCTGATTTATGGCTGAAATCTGGCCCGAAGCCAATGGCCATTTCGGTACTCAAAAGAAATCGCTTCCCTCACAGGCAGTGGCATCACCAGACTTTTCAGTCTGGGGGGGGGGGGGGGGGGCACAGGGGGGGCACCAGCATTTGAGGGGGGGGGGCACTTAGGTGGATACGGATCGCCGTCCTGGGGGAGGGGTCTAAGGGGAGGGGGTGCCCCCCTCCCCTTTGGAAAATTTTCGCATACGGAGGATGGGCTAGATGCAAAATGGTGCCACATTTGATGCTAAATTCGATCTGAAGATATCTCAAGAAATTGCTATTTTTGAGGTAATGATTTTAACAACGCGCAGAATTTTGCAGAGGATAGGGGGGCACCAGCATTTGATGGGGGGGGGGGGGGGGGGGCACTCGGGGGGGGGGGGGGGCACTAGGTTTTCCAGGGGGGGGGGGCACGTGCCCCCCACCCCCCTGGCCCCCCCTTGGCACGCCACTGCTCACAGGATCTACAAAAGGCTGGAGGTTGAAAGGTGACAAGGTCGCCAACAACTGGTCAATAAATACATGCACTAACAGTGGATGATAATTGACCAACAGCTGCTCGTTTGCTGCTAACAATCCAACTGATGATATTGTGGCGTTTTTCCTACCACAAAATATTTTATTGAGTTGCGCGCGGGAGCGGCTCCGCACGCGGTGGGGATTCTATATGGGCGGCGGGTTCTCAACAACCCGGGGGTGCGTCCGTTTGGGGAAAATATATCCCCACTTGCTTGTACCTCCAAGCACAAGTTACCTCCAGTCACCTCCAGTTACCTCCGGAGGTGATCAGACCTCCAAATGGTTTCCAAATAAATTATTCACAAGATTTCTGGCTTATATTCTCTCCTAAATTTCACCTAAAAATATGCGGACTTTGGATAACTGTGCGCTGAATTACCCCAAGCTAGACTTGCCCTAAATTAAATAGCTGGGAAAAGTGTCACGATATAAATAACACTATTTTCTACTCACAATATTAGTTGTCCGCTCAAAGTGACAGCAAAATGGCAAGTGAAGTGCGCTGCGCCTACGGCCGACGCGTAAATAAGCTCTTTAGCAACTTTAAAATACGCGCTATAAAGTTGGCTTCAGTAAGCGCCTAACTATGCGGTTTGTGCATGCAGTGCAATGCCAATGCGCCCAATTCCGCGCCGCACACTAAAAGAGCCCAAAGCGCAATAGCGCTTTCGCTGGTACCCCTGTACCGCCAAGCACTCATGCTTGCACGCTATGTACATTTTATGTGCGCAGCTAAAAACGCCCAATTTCTAATTTCTATCGCCCAATGAAGACCAGCTGCCAGAATTAAAGAGAATCGCCGCGCGAGAAGTATGATGAAAGTGTTTACCAATTTGCGCTACATAGCCCCACTCGAAGCCTGAACGGTCCCCGTTCACTTAGGCTGAAACTCTAACAAGCAAATTGGTTAAAAGGTGAGGGATAAAAGCAGCAATTAATTTGTGATTAAACAATTCAGCAATTCGTTAAAAACATTTCCTTAAAAACATTGTCTCTATAGCAAATTTAACCGATGAACAGAGTCTGTTGATCCTCAAAAAAAAAACCACTTGAACAATAAATTCGTCAACAATTATCTGAATTAACAGTAAAACATTAACTGGGACGCTAGAGTCCTTCGATCCGCAACACTTAATATTTTAGAATAAAATAAAAACACTTAGACTCTCTTGTTGATTAACAGGTGGCACTAGAGTCCTGATCCGCAAAGCGACGAGGAACAATTAGGCCCTAATTGAAGTTAAAAGTTAAGTCCAGATAGACGAACTTGAAGACTTTGGAACTACTTGCTGCCGGCTTCATACACCCTGATCCGCGTCACCTCGGAAACCTTGTCGCCGTTGCGGAAATTCGTCTTGGTGACGACCTCTGTCACTTTGGTCAGGCCGTTGTCGATGGCAATATTGAGCAGGGATGATTTCTTCTTGGTGACCTCCTCTTCTTCGTCTGAGTCCTCGCTCGACTCACTTGACGAGGCCGAGGCTGTAGGCAGATTTTGCTGTTGAAGTTGACTTTTCAGCCAGGCTAGGGGTTTCCCGCTTACTGGTGCCGCAACCGGGCTAGGTGTCTTGTTGTGGGTGGGCAGCTCCTCAGCGGTTGCTGGTAGTAAGGATAGTGATGCGGCTGGCGAGATCACCACCTCCTCAGCTACTGGAATTTCCATCTCATTCCAGACACTGCATGGTGTAGGCTGAGGAGGTGCCACATGCACCGCTTCTCGTGGTGTGGGTGGAACTGTAGCTGGATATTTAGCTGGAGCATTTACTGTCTCCGGGGGACAGCTCGCCGTTGCTGCAGGTCTTGCCCTGGGGCTGTTGGACACTTTTGCGATATCCCTCCGCTCCATCCAACGGTGACTGTGTGGTGGCTGCCCCTGAGGGCTGCTTGAGAAATGGAGGTCATCCATGTGTTGAGGATGTACCCTTCTGTAGTGTCTGCGAAGGTTGTCCCGCCGTTTAGACTGGAATTCACACCTTTGGCAGTCGAGATATCTGGGTGGACCATGGCAATCTTGCAGATGCCGGTAGAGGCTTCGTCTCTGCAAGAATACTTTCGGGCACTTGTTGCACATCAGCAACCTGCTCTCATCCAGATCGTCTGGAGTGGTCATTGGTAATGGCATAGTCTGAAATAAGAAACAAGAAGAAGAGAGGGTTTAGTAAACATTCATCACCCTCTAACAATCCCTGTACCTCTTGGGTACTCTACGATTTCTTACTGGCAACTGCCGTCGTTTTACAGGAGGTACACCGCTCATCAAATCGGAGGGTTTCATAGAAGATTTTGGAGGGGTCCTCACCCACTCATTCAATGCCGCAATGTTTTCTTCAGATTCACATTCCTGAGTTCCCTCATTGACATTGTTAATTACCTCCATGGAAGCGGCTTCAACCGGCTCTTCCATGGCCTCACTCTCATTTCCTGACTCATTATCTACACACTCAATAGATCTGTCTTGGGGAGGGATTTCTATCCGCTCATTACTGATTTCTCTATGCTCACTTATTAGGCTTTCGTGCCTGGGTTCAGTCCAATTTTCAAGGGTTTTGCCCTCATACAGTTTCAGCCGGTCAAAGTGCACTACTTTTGTCCGTGCCCTTTTACTCTTTTGGAGTCGGAACACTACATCCGAAAGTTTATCAACTATCAGATACGGGCCCTGCCAACGACTTTCTAGTTTTGGACAGACTCCCTTCCTCTTAGCTGGGTTATAAACCCAAACAAAATCTCCTTTGTTCAGCGGTTTGCCAGACACATTTCGGTCGTAGCCTCGCTTCTGTCTTCTCGTACTGGATTTAAGATGCCCACGAGCCCGACCGTGAGCACTCGTTAGTCTCGTTCGTAACTCTTCTGCGTAATCCAACTCGCCACTCGCAGGGTGCTCGAGGTGAACAGTCAATAGATCAATCGGCAAAGCCGTTTCCCTGCCCAACATCATCATGTTGGGTGTCTCTCCTGTGCTTTCCTGCGGAGTGGATCGATATGCAAATGTTGCATATGGCAACTGCAAATCGCAATCCTTTTGCTGCCTGTGAGGCTCTATCATGGTTGCAACCATGTTGATGAGGGTTCGATTGAACCTCTCTATCAGTCCATCGGATTTTGGATTATAGGGTGTGGTTCGTGTTTTGTGTATACCGAGTGTATGGCACACTTCACCAAACACGTTTGCTTCAAAGTTTCTTCCCTGATCAGAGTGAAGTTCTGCAGGGACCCCATATCGGCAAATAAACTGGGTGACAAGGACCTTGGCAACTGTTTGTGCTGTTGTGTCCACAAGTGGATATGCTTCGATCCACTTTGTAAAATAATCGCCCACTACCAGTATCCAACGATTCCCATCGTCGGTGATTGGTAGCTGGCCGATTATGTCCAGTGCTACCCTTTCCATTGGATAGCCGACTGGAACCTGCTGTAACGGTGCTTTGTTCCGCTTAGGTGGTGATTTCCTCTTTGCGCATCGTTCACACTTCCTGAGGAAGGAACGGACATCTGCGCGCATGCCACACCAGTAGTAGCGACACTTTACTCTGGCCAGTGTTCGCTTAAACCCAAGGTGTCCACTTGTTTTTCCTGCATGCAGTTCTTCCGTCACCGCTTTTCGTAGCGACTCAGGAAGTACAATTTTCCATTTCAGCTCTTTGCCGTCATCAGACTCCCACCTGGTGTACAGTACATCATTGTTGATGTGTAACTGATCCCAATGGCGCCAATAGGTCTTGATGGAAATTGACTTCCCAGAAACGGTGTTCCATTCTGGCCTTTCTGTTGAATCTCTTTTGGCCTGGATTACCCAAGAAGTGGAGGAATCCTCTAGTTGGGCCTGCGTTATGGCTTCATTGGTTATTTCTGGCTGTACCTTTGTTATTCGAACCACACTTTCGTGTACTGCCGTTTCCGACTCATTCTCTATAGTCCTTCCGCATTGTCTACATGGTTGTCTAGATAGGCCGTCTGCATTGGAATGTTTCAAGCCTGGTCGATGTACAATTGTATAATCGTACTCGCCAATGACTTCCAACCACCTAGCCAACTGACCTTCTGGGTTGCGAAAGTTGATAAGCCATCGCAAGGAGGCATGATCGGTTCGGATGATTATCTTCCGTCCGTACAAATACTGCTTGAACTGTCGTAAGAAGAAGATCACTGCGAGTAGTTCTCGCCGCGTCACACAATAATTCCGCTCGGGTTTAGATAGGGTTCTGCTAGCATATGCAATCACCCTTTCACTCCCTTCTTGAGTTTGTGAGAGCACAGCCCCAATTCCATCCCCACTAGCATCAGTGTCCAGTATATACTGGCCCTCTGGCTTGGGGTAGGCTAATATTGGTGCCTCTTGCAGACACCTCTTGAGGGTCTCAAATGACCTCTCACAATCTGAGTCCCATATGAAATCCCGAGACTTTTCAGTAAGTTTATGCGGGGGCTTTGCTATGTCTGCGAAATTTCTGATGAAGCGCCGGTAATAAGAAGCCAGTCCCACAAAACTTCTAACCTCTTTGACGTTACCAGGCGTTGGCCAGTCTCGAATGGACTTGGTTTTGTCAGGATCAGTGGCGATGCCACTCTCCGATACTACATGACCTAAATACCTCACTGTTTTCTGAAACAGAAAGCATTTTGCTGGCTTTAGTTTCAGGTTTGCGTTTCTGAAGCGACTGAACACTTCTTTCAGGCGATCCAATTCCTCGGTGACCGTTTTCCCATACACGATCACATCATCGAGGTACACAAGCAGTGTCTGCCACTGCAACCCTGCGACTTCTCTTTCCATTAATCGTTCAAATGTGGCCGGGGCGTTGCTGAGCCCAAAGGGCATTACTTTCCAATTGTACAAGCCTCCTCTGACCACAAATGCAGTCTTTTGTTTCGCTTCGTCATCAAGCTCAACCTGCCAATATCCGGAGGAAAGGTCTAATGTGGAGAACCATTTCGCTCCGGACAGGGCGTCTAGGGAGTCATCTATCCTTGGAACAGGATATGCATCTTTTATTGTAACTGAGTTTAGCCCTCGATAATCCACACAAAATCTTTTTGTGCCATCTTTCTTAGCAACAAGAACCACATTCGAAGCCCAAGGGCTTTCAGATGGTTCTATGATTCCTATTTCTACAAGACCTTCAACCTGTCGGGATATTTCTTGTTGATTGCATTCAGGTTGTCTTCGTAACCGCTGCTTCATAGGTCGGGCACTGCCCGTATCAATCGTGTGTTTCACCAGGTTGGTCTGACCTAGATCGGATTCACCCCTGGAGAACACATCACCAAACTCAATTAGGAGTCTCTTGACCTCGTCATGATAACGAGGCTCTAAATTCTCAACGCTTCTGTCGTAGAGTTCTTCGAGATGTAGTGGGACGTGCACTCCCATGGTAGAGTCCTGCTTGCACTCAGTTTCTATGTCACTTTCCTTCACTTCTGTGAGGACTCCAGCTGTAGTCCCACAGCGGAGTACCCGTTCGTTTCTACCTGGGTTTAATACCCTTAGTCCAACTGTGTCTTGGTCAGTCCTTACAAGTGTTCTAGCTAACACCAAGCCTCTTTGGGCAAGCTCTCCACCATTGGCTATTGGCTCTATTATTCCAAGTTTGGCAATCCACTCTTGGTTGGACTTTACATGCCCCAGCACTATAGCCTCATGCCCAGGTGGTATAGTAGTGGTTGTGTCCACCACTACCCGATAACAGAACGAGGACCCAACTCGATCTGTACAACGGATCTTTTCACCATGGATGTGTAAGGATAAATCATTAAGATCTAATACTCCTCCAGTCGGGAGAAGATAGTCCATGCCCAGAATTCCTGGGATCGGCAAATCGGCCACTATTCACTATTGCCTCAACTAGAGCAACTGTGTGGCCAACCTCAATGTCAACTTCAACTGTACCCATTATGTTGCCCATAAGGCTACCTCCAGCTTGACGAACTTGAATATGACTTGTGTTTAATTTGGGTCGTTTTTCCATAGGGATCTGGGAGTAAACAGACTTCGATATAATCGTGTCTGTCGACCCTGTATCTACCAGAAATTGTACACTGATAGATCTTAACACCCCTCGTACATATAACCCTTCTTTGGGTTCCTCTAGGGGAACCAAGTTTGTTTTCTGTTTTTCTAACTCTGGTTTGGATTCTGTCCTCTCTGGGGGACAACTGGTTGACCCATTACCTGAAAAAGCGGTCTTTCCATGGGTCCCGTGGTAGACCGCCCTGCGTTTCCCGAACGATTTCTCGGGGAGGGACACTTTCTTGCAAAATGCCCCCATCCTCCGCAATTGTAACAAGTCAACACCTCTGATTGTGTAGCGCCTCCAATGTGTACCTCACTATGAGGTGTTCCCATTGGTTGGGGCGCCTCACTCACTGTCTGGAATTTATCCTTATCTGAGCGAAATGCTTGTTTAGCTGGTCCCAACTGTGGGTTTCCCTTGTTTTCACTCGCTCTACAGTATTTGGGTTTTCTTGGCGATGGATCTCTCTCAGCTTCCATTCGCTCAAAGTTTTCTGTTGCCAATGCAGCTCTGATTGATTCGTCAAGGGTTTGGGGCCTCGCCCTAAATATGCCCTCTCTGATTGACTGGTGTTCAATGGCATCAGCAAAGTGGACCCGTGCTAGACGGTCCCGTCCACTTTCATCAAATTCGGGGTAGGCTAGGGCCACTAGCTCCATTATTGCCTGCCCCAACTCTCTCAGGGATTCTTTCTGACCCTGTCTGCGCGTTCGCAATTCCATTAAGAAATGTTCGGCCATTTGTCCCGGCCCGAATTGCGCTTCGAGTTGATCAATCAATTCTTTATACTGGAGTTGTCCGCTTTCTCGGTTACAACGCACTTTCAGTGCTGCTCCTTTTAAGCTAGCTGCTAAAAACACAGCCGATTGTGCATTGCTCCAGCCATTCGCTGTTGCACATGCTTCAAAGTGCTGACGGTAGTCTTTCCATGGACTTTTCCCGTCAAATCTATCCGGCATTATATTCGGCCGACCACCACGTCCGGTCATTGGATGCAATCCAATTTCATCTCTCTGTCCTGTCTGTACAGGTTCTGAGACTACGGGACGAGGTGTGGAGGTCACAGGCCCTCCATAACCTTTAACCTGAGGACCTCTTATAGCCACACGGCTGTTTTGATCCTCACTTTGTCTGTCTTTGCTACTACATTGCGTGACTGTATTTGTTGTTAGGGGCACCGTAGGACTGATCCCAGTCGCATACCCCGACGTTTAGAGCTTCAACTCCCCCATTAAATCTTTGAATTTCACCTCTGGATCATCCTGCACCTCCGGGAGGTGCAATCCAGGCATTTCAACATTATTCCGATTTATAATCGGTTTATCTACTTTGTTCGGCTGGACTTTCTTATCCAACGCCATGCTTCTAAGTGTGTATCGGAGCTGCTCTTCCTGCAGCTGAATTTCTTTTTTCCAGCTCCTCTAATCTCATTGATATGAAATTAGGGGCGGTTCCATGGGGAGGTACACCACTCTCACCTCCGGAGGTGACTGTACCCGAACCTGATATGACCTCTCTGGAGGTCCTGTGGTCCGCCATAATATCACAAGCGAGGCTTTTATTTGTACACACAACTGCAAAATAATTCTCAAATAACACACACTCTATATAGCACCTCCGGCGGAGGTACACAAATCAGCGAGGCGCTCACACTCGGAAGAGGTAAGCAAACACACACACAAAAATACAACTACTTGCCTACCAATACTAAATTTTTCCCTACAAGAATCCCACTTCTGACACCATTTGTGGCGTTTTTCCTCCCACAAAATTATTGAGTTGCGCGCGGGAGCGGCTCCGCACGCGGTGGGGATTCTATATGGGCGGCGGGTTCTCAACAACCCGGGGGTGCGTCCGTTTGGGGAAAATATATCCCCACTTGCAGGCAAACCCTATTGGACAAGCAAGTAATTGACAACCGGAAACAAGATATAACTTGTACTTCTCAATGCATCATTTAATTCGCACCAAATGAATCGGAGGTACATGTACCTCCAAGCACAGTTACCTCCAGTCACCTCCAGTTACCTCCGGAGGTGATCAGACCTCCAAATGGTTTCCAAATAAATTATTCACAAGATTTCTGGCTTATATTCTCTCCTAAATTTCACCTAAAAATATGCGGACTTTGGATAACTGTGCGCTGAATTACCCCAAGCTAGACTTGCCCTAAATTAAATAGCTGGGAAAAGTGTCACGATATAAATAACACTATTTTCTACTCACAATATTAGTTGTGGAGATCAGCGCACGTCCGCTCAAAGTGACAGCAAAATGGCAAGTGAAGTGCTAGTGCGCCGCGCCTAGCGCCTACGGCCTACGCGTAACTAAGCTCCTTAGCAACTTTAAAATACGCGCTATAAATTTGGCTTCAGTAAGCGCCTAACTATGCGGTTTGTGCATGCAGTGCAATGCCAATGCGCCCAATTCCGCGCCGCACACTAAAAGAGCCCAAAGCGCAATAGCGCTTTCGCTGGTACCCCTGTACCGCCAAGCACTCATGCTTGTACACTATGTACATTTTATGTGCGCAGCTAAAAACGCCCAATTTTTAATTTCTATCGCCCAATGAAGACCAGCTGCCAGAATTATAGCCTTGTTCAATGCGGTCTCTCGGCTTTTTGTCGAAGGGAGATAATCGGGCCCTGCACCCACAATCAACGCGGCTACGTGCGTGTACCACCGGTCACCGACCCTTGCCCGTACGAACGGTTCGGTACTAACACAACCAGCAAGCACACACACGTGAGTACGGACTGTACAGTACATGTACATGTACGCATGGTGTAATAAGGCAGTAAAATGTAGGCCTACTGTGTTCTGTGTGTGGGTGTACGTACATGTACGTGCGTGTGGGGGATATACGCGCCGCGTGGCCCGTCGAACGACCGCCTTGTTTGGTCTGCAACTTCCAGGTTTAATGTCTTTCTTTACCTTTTCGTCCAGTTTTGGAAAAAAATGGGCGGGCTTCAGGATATGCGGGTATGCCGTGATGATTATGTAGGTTCGTCTTGGACCAATCACATGAAACAACCTTCCCAATAGTATGATTAATTTATTTTTAAGCTGACCAATTGTAAGCTTTGTGAGAGACCAAAGAAAATCCAAGTGTCCTCCAGCCTTCCGTCAAGCCGACAAGGTGATCCACAAGCCTGCTGATATTGCTGAAGCTTTCAATGAGTTTTTCACTTCAGTTCATTCGCCTGCAGTCAATTGTCCAGCGACTCCACCACCGTGTTCCCTCCCTATCCCCAAACTCCCTCCAATCAGAATCAATCTAGGATTTCTGACCAAATCGCTGCTAACTCTCAACCCTCATAAAGCACCAGGCCCTGATGGAATCTCACCCACAATCCTACGAGCTACTGCATCATCAATTGCTCCCCCATTGTTGCGCTTGATGAATTCCTCACTTGCACAGGGTGCTCTCCCCATGGACTGGAAACTTTCAAACATCACACCTGTATTCAAGTCCGCCAACCGAACTGATATTACGAACTACCGTCCAATTGCCCTAACTTCCGTTGTGTGTAAGGTGATTGAGAAGGCTGTGGCAGATGGTATTCATGATCATGTGTCCTCCTTTTGCCTTGGCAATGATAAACAACATGGTTTCTCAGCCCGAAAATCGTGTGTGACACAGCTAACTAATGCCATCCACGACTGGGCTACAATCCTGGACAAGCCACGCCCACCTAGAATTGACATTGCTTGCCTAGACTTTTCTAAGGCATTTGACATGATGCCTCATCACACGGTACTAGAGAAACTCGCTCGCAATTTCAACATACGAGGTCAACAATGGATGTGGTTGAAATCTTTTCTGACTGGGCGTCAGCAACGTGTTATGTATCGTGGCTCTTTTTCATCATGGTCACCAGTCACATCCGGCGTCCCCCAAGGAAGTGTGCTCGGCCCTCTGCTATTCAACCTGTTTATCACCGATATATCTAATAACCTTTCTTCCAAGTGTCTGCTTTTTGCAGATGACACCCTCATTTACCAACCAATTCTTTCGCCCCGAGATGAACTCAACTTCCAATCGGACCTTGATGCTCTTGCCCATTGGAGCATAACAAATGGAATGAAACTCAACCAGGGAAAGTCCAAGATAATGCACATGACGCGTACAAAGAAAACAATAGTCCTCCCACACTACACTCTCCAAGGAATACCCCTCACAGTTGCCCCTACCTTCAAGTATCTTGGAGTAACCGTGAACAATAAGCTAACATGGAATGACCACGTCGATGCTGTTGTGTCTAAAGCTAACAAAACTTTGGGCTTCATATGGCATATCGCAGGTGGATCATCGTCCAAGGCTCTCTTGTCACTCTACCGAACCCTAGTCCTGCCTGTGCTTGAGTATGGGTTGCCTGCCTGGTGCCCATACACAGCCACGTTGGCCGCCAAACTCGAGCGAGTGCAAAGACGAGCCACTAGGATGATCCTAAAGCAACAGAGAGGAGCCATGACCTATGAGGACAGACTGCATACACTGAACTGGTTAAGCCTTGAAACTAGACGACACAAACTCACTGTTCAATTTACCATTAAATGTTTGTTTGGCCTCATTGATTGTCTCAGTATTACATCCCATACAGTAGTCAATACCCGTCACCTGGACACAGTTTCATTTAATCACCATTACGCCAGAACCCTAAGTTTAAGGAATTCCCCTGTTCATGCTTTTCCTCGTATATGGAGTAATCTCCCAATCCACGTTAAGGACTCATTGATACTTGATTCATTTCAGTGTTTTAATCGTGAATTATGTGCTCATTTTATTGATGGTAATGTTTTGTCTATTTGTTGCTTTTGATCTAAATTGTGTTTTGGATATTGGTTGAGCGGGGAGGTTTGGCCGAGTCGGGATTCGGGCCCGGGACCTCCGTATTGCTGTTCAAGCGCTGGAACGGTAGTCCGGGGGTCTCGGGTTCGGGTCCTGGTTCGGTCAGATTTCTTTGCTCAACTAATATTCATTTCAAATTATACCAGTCAGTTTTCTTTCCTTCATGAATCATTCAATTTTTTTTTCGTATAGAGTTCTCTAATTAACTTTTGGTTTGTTTGTTTGTTGGGGAGTTGGGCTGTTTGTCGTTTGTTTTTTGTTTTTTGTTCTGTTTTTTTGTTAATATGTTTTTTTGTGTGTTACATTTGTACATGTATTAGACTGTTCGTATAATTGTAATTTTTCTTGTCTGTTTGCATGTGTAGGGTATCTGTTATGTTTTTTTCTGTATGGTTTTATCTGATTGTTCTTGTCTTTGTTTTGATGCTTTTTTAACTCGTTTGTATGTTTCATTGCTTACCTGTTTATCACTTATTGTGTTTCTTACTGAATTATTTTATTTATGCTACTTTTTTATTTTCATTTAAATTCATTTACATATTTAGCAGATATTTATTTACCCATTTATTTATTCATATATATTACCCTCCATTATAATAGCATTTTTAATTTCCAGATTTATTTTTAACTTCTCATATTACTTGTATTTAATAGTTATATTTTAAAGTTATTGCATGTTACCAACCTAGGATTGGATGAACAGGCTTTTGAGTCACAGTGTTTTCACTTTTGTTCATCCTGGCCATCTTAGATTGGATTGTCTTTACTCTGCTTGTTGAACTCCCTCCCACTTCCACTCTTCCCCAATCCGCTCCCCTTCTATACATTCCTCATCCCCACCCCCATTTCTTCCCCATCTCATTCTTACCTACTGTACCTATACACATCTATTCTTTTCGATTGGTATTTGTTACACAATTTATATATCATCTTGACTGTCCTTGATGTATGACATTTCTTACATTGTATGTGCATGTACATGTTTGTATTTTGAATGTTTTGGCCGAATAAATAATAATAATAATAATAATAATAGCTTCACAAGAATCATGTGACGTCGCGCTGCATGCATAATGCATTAGTCATCATGGCGTCTTCCATGTCTTGTTAGCGAGAGCGAAATGTTCGTCACTTTTTCAACAATTTGACATTGGTTCGAGTTTTTCGGCTCGTGTAATGAATCCATTTGAGTGGGCAACGATCGTCTAATGACAGCATTACCTGCAGAATTCGTTGGAGCCTTCAATACTGCTTCGGACAGACTGCGACGTGTTTGTTAGCCTATCGCGGGCTGACCAATGAGAATTCAGTATACGCGGGGGGGTGGTACCTCATTACCGTAATAGGTTTTGCTGGGTCAACTCAAAACCATCAAGGCGTTGGGTTACGCGGACTAGCTCATGCATGCACTGTGTGTGCATGGCTGCTGTACGAGTACATGTACGTGTGTGTACGTGCGTACGTGCAAGCATAGCCTCGCTGTATGGTACAAGTTACTTTCTCACTAGCAGCGTACGGGCATCGATATATGTGCACTCAATTATGCCTTGCCAAGTTGATTAGGGATTTTCTTATCGGCGATTTTTTTTTTTAAAAGCCCAACGCCTTGGTCAAGGCTACCAGAATTAAAGAGAATCGCCGTGCGAGAAGTAAGTCATGAAAGTGTTTACCAATTTGCGCTACAATATTGAGCAACGCCATGGGTGAAAGGACTGCAGTTTGTGGTTCTCGTCAGGGATGGTACGCGGTCCTATGTGTGCATGTGAGCTGGTTGCTCTTTGCTGGGCTCATCAAGGGTCTCGGCGTAATGTTGCCCACACTCAAGGAGCAGTTCGCTACTGATACCTGGTTGATAGGATGGATGATCGCCATCATCAGCGGAACTGGCAATTTGTTAGGTGAGAGTTCCATACTAACTAGACCCCATGCTCAGCTCACAATGAAGGCACAGTAACGATGACGGTACCAAGTGTTTATTATATACGAACGGATTAATTTTGGAACTTTTTATTTCAACGCACACATCATCGTGATTTTTTGAGTTGCATGCTTACCCTACATGAAGCCATTTGGTAATTGATATTCAAAAAGAGCGTCGTTCTTATAGCTTTTGTTCATGAGGAAACACGATGGAAAATTAAAAGCGTATGGGACCTGTGGTTCCAGTGTCATGTTTCGATCAGTATGCTGCGACCGTCACTAGGAGAAACCTTGAGGATGCTCAAAGCATAATAAGTTAAAAGTCTCACAGGACATCTTCTTGATAAGATACGCCAAACCGTTTCCTTGGTTGTACTTCACCACTCTCATGTAAACCTCAAATCTTGTTCATTCACAACCAGCCAAATTGTATTCGTTCTTTTCAGTTTTTTTTTTTAATGGCCCAAGTCCAACGCAAACGTCACTCGTTCAGATGAAATTGACGGGTGAACTGTCATGAACAGGACAGCATGGGCAATTTTTTTCTCTTACCCCCCCCCCCAGGCCTTTTTGCTAGGAACCACCCTCAATCCTCCAAAATTTTACAACAGCGCCTAAATTCTTCAAAATTTTCAGACAGTCCTGCCTTAAAATGCATTCATCCTCAATCCTCCAAAATCCTTCTTACCCAAAAATGTTGCACTTATAATATGTTCAAATGAAGGGTACCCAGCCCCTTAATTCTTCAGAATCGTCAGACAGTCCTGCCTCAAAATACCATGTACCATTCAGCCTCAATCCTCCAAAATCCTTTTCTGAAAAATACCATTCAGCCTCAATCCTCCAAAATCCTCCAAAATCCTCCAAAACCACAAGGAGGATTTTGGAGGATTGAGGAGGGTTAGAGTTACCGGCGGGTCATTTTCGGGTTATTAGTAAACTACTGTTCCTATTGCCGTTAAACTCTGTATGCCTTTTTTCCACCAATGCATGCAGTTCCTTTGGCTAGACCTCTTGAGGTCGTGTTTGGTACCCGTACAGTGGCAGCGATCTGCGGTTTCATGCTCGGGATTTCCATCGTCCTCGCTTCTTGTACCACTAGTGTGGCCATGCTGACACTGCCTCTAGCATTGATAGCTGGTAAGCGGCAGTTTTTCATATACATGTACATGTACTGCGCACACTGAGTTTGGATTGCAAGATAGTGGTTCCTGCTTTAAAATGTGGTATACACGTATGTCGTATCGCTTAAACATCAAAACTTGCTGTGAATTTTTTTTTTATCAATTTCCATGAAAAATTACTTCCCTACAGGACCGGGTCTGAGTATCGTGAACATCCTGTCAAGGGCCATGGTAGGACGGTGTTTCACCACAAACTACGCCACAGCTATCGGTATTGCCTCTTCGGGACACCCTTTGGGCTTCGTCATCTTCGCACCTTTCATCCAAGTACTGCTGGACACCTACGGCTGGAGAGGCGCCTTGTTGCTTCTGGGCGGGTTTAGCCTGCATCTTGGGGTGTGTGGCGCCCTCTTGCGATCACCCTCAACGGCAACCCGGATTAGCGGCGACTACCAGCCCGTTGCCCACAGCAACGATGATGAAGCGGAATCACGTGATAGCTCATCGGACGTTCATGGTGCCAGCAAGAAATCGTGGCTGGATTCAGCCAAGGACGCCCTCTTGATCACGAAGGAGCGTTTCGGGGTCTCGGTTGGCCGCCGGGTCGCCTTTTGGCTAGCAGCCGCCATATTTCTTTGTTATCGGTTCGCGGGCGCCATTTGGCAGATTTTCTTCGTTGCTCAAGCCCAGGCAAAAGGCTTCTCCGCGTATAATGCCGTGATGTTTACCGCTGCCGGCGGGTTGGGAAGCATTGCGGCAAAGATTGTCTTCGGTCCTTTAGTGGACCGGGCGTTGTTGAAGTTACGACATGCATTAGCGATTGTGATCGTAGTAGGGTCCTTGACCTTTGTGACTGTTCCTTGGATGAACTCCTATTGGCTAATGATGAGCAATGCCTTCTTGTGTTTCGGTGCGATTGGCGCAACTGGCGCACTCTCCGATCTCTTCACCAGGGAACTACTCGGAGTTGATCTCCTCGTAACCGCTTTCAGCTGGATGCAGCTTCTTAGTGGAGCTATCTTGTTCAGTGTGGGATTTTTTCCAGGTGAGTGAGTGCTCGTACCCACTACCATATCCAAAATGTGCACTGCAAAAACTGTGTAAAGCAATTAAACACTGTTCTAAACACACATGTTTGTAACGTTACATACTTGTGTGGACATTCCTTTGTTTTTGTGTAGTTAAGAAAAAAACCTGTGGGGAAAAAAGTCATTTTACTCACACTGTGAAAACTCCTTCAACCCATTTTGTTTTACGATGATTCCCTTGAGTTGATATTTCTCTTCATTTTGCGCCCGATTAACCTGCCCACACTAGCCTTTTATGTAAATGAAAGATACATTCAGTGCCCGAAACATTTTAAAGAACCAAAATGAACAATGTCTAACGCTACAAAATACGTTGTGACAATTCAAACCGCATTTGCTGCGTTGTGCAAACTTAATAGTGTAAAATGTGTAAAAAAAAGTCCAAACATATTTTGACTCCTCTTTTGCGCGAGCAGCACACATTATAGTACAATATGAAAAGTTACGTTGAAATAAAATCTAGCTGTAGGCACAGGTTGTGGATAAAGTTTTGCATTCATACATATCTCGTTCTTTCTAGGTTGGATGTACGACCAGACTGGAAGCTTCGATATGGCCTTTGTCATCGCTGGCTGCGTGTGGGCGTCGTCTCTTTTGGCTTTGTTTGTCGAATGGGTGATGACAAGACGGAAATTGCTCCAAGAAAAGTAACAATAGAGCATTTGCATCTGACGTCACAACTGAGAACATGCCTTTGTTCCTGTGAGATACGAATGGGCACACACTTTTGTACTTGTAGCCACTGAATTTAAACTACAGAAGCTGTGCGTGAGGCTTGAGGGCGCCATCAGGCAGAAGGCTGAGAATCGGACCGTTTAGTGACAACTGACAAATTGGTCCTTTCACATGTTAAATGCATTTGACATTATTGTCACGGTTATGTGTTGGGTGTGACCCTAGGGTGGTGAGTCCGCTTAACGTTTAATTAAAAATTAATGCACTGATCGCCAAGGGCGGATCCGGGGGGGGGGGCCAAAGGGGGCCAGCCCCCCCCCCCAAAAACGAAACCAATTTTTTTTTTTTTTAAGTGACATCGCAATAAAGGCAGGCAATGAGTACAACACCATCTTTTCCTCAAAAAAACATTAGTTAAAGTGGTCAGAAATTGCCTCAGATCGCACCACAGAGCATCTAGAATCCAAATTTTTTTCGGGGCCCTTAAGCGGGCCCTGAACCCCACGCCGTAAATTATTGGACCCACTTTTTTGGGGGACCATAATTTTTTGGGGCCCCCCAAAAAATTGTGTTCTGGATCCGCCCTTGCTGATCGCGGAGACCATGGGGCAGTGTTATGTGCACCACGATACTTGAAGGAAAGTCCGCTAAATGATTAGTTTAGGACGTTGAGGCAATAATTCAAAATCAGAAACAAAATAATTGGAAGCGGAAGCAAAAAGTTTCACTGCTCAGATTGCAATATCAAATTATTTTAATTGATGTCTGATTTTATAAACAAGGCATAGAATTACATGACTGACAATCAGTTCCCACAATGGCAAGTATTACAAAATGATATCTTGAACCCAATACAATTCTTTTCAATTAAGTTGTCTTCACTTAAATTCTAGTTAAATTTCTATTCAGTTAAGTTGAGTTTCACTAGGGGGGCCTAAATGTAAAATTTCCTTAAGTTCCAAATTTCGTTAGGTTCCCTTCTAACATGTCTAAATTCTCCTAAATTTCCTCAATTTCAAATTTCCCTTAAAATTTCCCCGAACGCCAAGCTGGGTTGTGTTATGGCATCAGACTCGCCAACCTATCACACAAAATATTTATGGAGCAAGAAACCAAAGCGAGAATTAGGCATACAACAGTCGCTGTAAATTACAGACATGAAACAGTCACCGTGTACGACCAGGTGATTCACTCACGAAAGTTTACAACATATCGAGAGGACAAATGAACCTTAAATTACTCTTTTTCCAATCAACATATGAACTTAAGATTTGTCCAGTAGTATCAGGGATAATAATGTGAGACTACGAGACACAAATCATGCAATAGATCTAAAAATATTATCATCAAAAGCTGAGTTTTGGGACACAAACTATTCTTCAATGTACTCACACATTGGCCGCTGATCCGAAAAGGACGGTCTTGCACATCACATTTCAAGATGGCAAAACACACGTAGATTAATGCGCCACACAACCCCTCTCTTGATACTGTTAGTTCAATAAAGGTGTCTCTAACAGTTAAAAGGTACATTCTCACACATTAACAGAGTTTTACAAATAAGTGAATTCGGAATTGATGCGTCCTGTTTTAAATAATTACTTTTCCTCGAAGGAACTATTTACACTCCGTGTGGATGAATAGCGGTGACATGTCGCCACATGGTCTCACACGAAGACTACGGAGTCTCTCAAAGGACACGGACCCCTACATTAACAACTTTGGCAATTGAGAAACTAATATTGCAATTAAATAAACAAGAATCAATTCCAAAACTTGCTCTCAAGATAGACTGATTTATTTCTAATTGAAAAAAAATGAAATGAGTTGATATACCGAACATTTAATATCGCTCAGAAGAGTCTTAAAAGAAAGCCCGAAGTCGACTTGACTACTACTTTACCCGAGTAGGATTGTATAATTTTAATTAGTTTGTGATGCACACAAACACAGTTCGCAAGCCAGGCAAACATCACAGATTAAAACAAGGATCCAAGACTGGGCTAAAATATAATGAGCTATATTTCTGGTAACACAATGGCTAATACAATGGCTAATACAATGGCTAATTCTATGGCTAATACTATGGCGAGTGCAATGGGCTAGTGCAATGGCTGATATAATATTGAGCTAGTACAATGAGCTACTTATAATGGATTAGTACAAACAATGGGCTATTAGTAATAGGCTAATTGGCACTGTGTACACCTGCTCTCTCCCCGTATGAGTTAACCTGTGTAAGAAATAGGCCTACACAAGACCGTCGAAACAGTACATAAAACAGCCGTCGAGACAATACATGAAACAGTATAGTGATGCTTCACCTGGTAGATACTCACGACGTTGAACTTTCCACACTGAACTTAATTTCTCGATAATGCAGCTAACAAAATTTGTCCAAAATGGAGAAAAAAAATGGAAATGTTTCTCAGTCCCAAATTCACGTCTTTTCAACACGTTTGCAATGACTGACCTTCACTGATAAAATATATGATGAAAAATGTGGCGTCAGGATGCAACATTCTTTCCGCGGTTTATATTGAAGCAGAACCACAGTTATAGGTCTAACGTTATATGCTGAAATACTCACGAATCTACAGGTTCGAAGACGCAGCGAACCACCGGGTTTAAAATTTAAAATACCCAACAATCCAACTCAACAAGTCAGCACCAACAGAAGAACAGTTCCTGGACCCAAAATGGCGACACTGACAACTTTGAAAATTGGCAGTCTTGGCATGCTTGGAGGTTTTGGAGCATTGTCATTGTGATCTTTGGCGTGTGTGCGCCCACTCATCAGAAGCATGCATGAGGCCTGCCCTAAGGCCAAAAAAAGTCTCCGGTTTCTGGTATGGAGCTTGCCCAAAAAGTGGTGCGGCGACGCGGCTTTTTTTTTTTACCTGATTTTTTTGCTTCAAATGTCGGCTGATGACTGCAAATGGTGCCCGACTAAACTTAGTGCAAATATATGGGAGTCCAGAGAGGCCACCTAAAGCTTATTCTCGACAATAACCCAATCTAAAAACACGTTAAAATTGTGCAGCAGCAGGATTCCAGTCAAACCAGTGAGTTTGGCGGTTTTGAGACATCATCTTTCATTGAAAAAAAAACTTTTTCATTTTGCCGACGCGCATGGCTACGGCGACGCGCGTGCATACCAGAAACCGGAGACTTTTTTTGGCCTAACCAGACTAAAAAAAACGTGAGGCAATGAAATATATCCAGATGAATAAACGAAAGAGGGCGGTGTTAAAGCCGAGTACACGACGAAGACCACGCCTAGTAATACATCAGTGAGCATGTTTATTTTTGATTTCTTTGGGTATCGGTACCACTAAGTCACAGTCACGGCCGACTTGTAGCTTAACGTACAATTAATTTCATTAAAAATTGCAATGAGAATCTCAACGAAATAAATTTAAATGTAAACACGTATAATTAATGATCACCATTGATGATGGAATTAGAAGGTCTGTATTGATTATACCACTGCAAACTGAAAGATGATAATGGCAAACTGAAAGAACCATTTATTTTGCTGCAAGATGTCATACAAAAATTACACTCTGACTGGGACAATTACACTTGCAAGTTGATTAGAGACTATGATGACAAAACTTCGCCATCAAGCATTTTTTAATGTAAATTGTAGCATAAACTCGTTTGTGCTTAAAAGAAAAAAAAGAAAAATTTATAAAAAAAAAACAAATATAAAAAAGTTTATAAAAACAAATAAACCGTTTAATATAATAATAATAATAATATTGAGAAAGTTTATTCTCTATTAATACTTATAATTATTGCATTAGGAACTCACTATTAAATCAGCCTCTGAAAGTATATATCTTCAGTGTACGCAACAGATTTCGTCATTTACCATTTAATTTTAAAGTTTGGTCACCCTCTTAAACACCCGGTCGAGATTATTCGTTTAATACCCACTGGCGACCGTAATTGCCTTAGATTTAATGTATAACTCCAGAGCTAAAATTTACTGTCTAAATAAAAAAAGAAACAATCGCCTTTGTACCAATAATATGGCTCCATGTCAATAACTTGATTAAATACACAAGTTCATTGGGTAACAAGCTGCAGTTGTATGCAACTACACATGCGCACATCACTCTTTTTGTCGATGTCACTGGACAAAGTAACAAACTAAGATAAGCGTGTGCAAAAAGAATCTGAAGAATTCTTACCAATTCTAAAAATTCTATTCAATTATTTTAATTGATAGGTTCTCCATAGATTTTTTACGCAGTGCTTTGCCTAAATGGCAAAGTCTCGATGCACGCATGTGCAGTTGAATTTCAGACTCATACGGATGATGTATTTAACAGCATAATGATAATAATGTCCCTGAGCTGCATCTAATTTTTATCATATCTTTTTTGTCGGTTCATGCTGTGTCGTTGACCGGTCCCGACTTAACTAGCATCGGCAGCCCACGTTGGGAATGCAAAACTCGCCGTTCAAGCAGCACTCCATCTTCCCTGGCAGATACTTGCACTCCGCCTCTCCTGCGGGGCAGGTCTTCGGCATGTAGTACGTGTCCTGTGATTGGATAAGCGGAATGAGAAGTGTAATATTTTCTCGTACTCACCGATTACTCAAGGGCCGGGTGACACGTTATTGTGATGCGTTAATATTCCAGTCACTCAAATATGTTTGTGTCGTTGTAGCTAGGCCGAACGTACAAACATGAAATGAACCTACCCCGTTATTGTTGTCATTGAAAACAAATGTCAAAATGGCGGCGCCTTGTACGCCGATCCTACACGTGTCACTGTTAAGGTAGCAGCTTTTAAAATCTTCGAAAAATTAATGCAGCTGGAAGTGTTTTTCCCGGTAATAGATGAACTTATATGGAAACTAGATGTGTTTCTAATAAGTCTCTCGTGTACAGTGATCGAATTCGGATCTCGTCTATCAAGTCGGCCTTTACGTAGGCCAACTTTTTTAATTATCTTTCTTTTATAACTTGATAACCCGATTCCACAGAGTTTTTTTTAAAGGTCGTGGGTTCTTTTATACTGTTTACACTGAACTTTTCTCCCCCTGTTTCTGTACTAGTACTCATGATAAGCTGCAGTCGAGTGGGCGCTTTTTCGAATTTCTTAAATTCCTTGCAAAATTTACAACTAAGTATGTGCAAGTTCTCTTTTATAACTATCGACACATCGAGTGTCATAAGTTTCTGAATGAATCGCCCATCTCCAAGTGCAGTTACAGTGGCCAATGACCACTGAGTTTATAAAGTATAAAGACGCCTACCTCGGCGCTGTAAATCAAAGGGTCAATGACCTTCCTCCAATCGTCCAGAGTCCACGTGAGGGAAAAGTCCACACTGATGCCATTGATGAAAACAGTGGGCGTGCCAGACACCGTTCCTTCAAAATATACAGCAAAAGTATCATCAGTTAAAAAGGGGGATGCTGACTACAGGTGGCAAGGTACAAGGTAGCAGAACAGAGGAAATGTACCACTCACCATTAAAAAAAACATCCACTTACAATGAACGTGTCGATCCGATGGAAGCGCGTACGGTGGAGTGTAGGGGGGGGGGTTGAATCCAATACATTTTCTAAATAATTATGCTCCTGAATGTAAGACAAAGCATCCATGCAGATCTCAACATTTTCCGGGCGAATTTACCCCCCCCCCCCCCCTCCCCTCAGCAGCAGTGCCTTTTGTACGCGCTACTGCCTTCGGTACCTGTTCCTAGCTAACTCCCTTTTCAGACCAGGCTAGCTAAAGAAAATGTGTTCCCTTCCACCTTATAGCCATATATTTTGTCACTGTGCAAGCAGTTTTAGAGTTTAGGACAGTTTATTAATTCAGGCGAAAATAAATCAGGAATCTCCGGTTAATGAGATAAGAGAGCAAAGTAGATGAAAGACCCCCTAACAACGCTTGGTGGCGCTGCATATAATATCCGCTCAGAACCGTATACCTGCATCAGTTTACTTATTTTACAAACAGGGGGGATGGGGATTCAAACTGATAGATAAGATGTGTTTTCCCCCTTTTTTCGAGGAGGGGGCATTATACAGCTGTTCTCTATCAGTCTCCATACTCATCTATCGCGTGCGGTGACTATATTGCATTCCAAAGCCAAGAACTCTGGAGAAAAAAATTGTACAGGAGCTTTGTTTCTTTAATTAATGTTTACTCAACCATGAAGGTCACCGGAGTCTTTGTGCCCATTATGCATCTGTTCATTGAATGAATAAACTTACGCGTGCATCCATATTTCCACATGACTATTTCTTCTTCCCTGGATGGATCAGTGTCCTTGAAGTGGGTAAGGATTTCGCTCTTTGAGATACTAGTGGCTGCGTAGATGTCCTCAGCCAACAACCTAAAGAGATAATACAAGAGTAAAATTATCTTCAGGGTATCGAGATGGGAGTTTTGGTGGCTCGGTTTCAGAACTGGAATTTAGAAAGAGTTGCGACAACAATTTGGAGGCAATCACAGGTCCAAATATCAGTCAGCTCGCACATTAATGGTCCGTAACGCTAGCGACATTTGGGCACAGTAACCAGTTTCTCTCATTTTCTGTCACTAAAATACTGCAGCATCTCACAAAATACTTTTCCCTCGTTCGTGGACCTAAAATGGGGTCCGAAATCGGTATCCTTCATGTCATAACTCTTCATTTTGGTGTACAAAGCTGTGCAGAAAATCTTGGCCGCGGTCATTGATACAAATTTTCGGACTGGCTTATAATTAGCCTATGTAGTTACACTTTACTTCACTTTTTTTTAGAATATCCACAATACTTAAGCCAAACTTCTCTCTCTACTTCCAACATTAGTTCTGACTCTGAACGGCGAAGGAAATAAACTATAGGGCCTACGCGTATGTAGACAACGCATGGGGGCAACTAGGGACGGGGGTGAACATCATGGGCGTAGCGAGGAGGGGGCAAGGGGGGCAAGAAGGGAAAAAAAGAGGAAAAAAAAGAAAAAAAAAGAGGCGCGAAGACAAAGTGGTGTAAATTTAATGAGTTGGGGGGGGGGGGGGGCAACATGTCCCACATTGGAGGGGGCGGGAGAAACTTGGGGGCAAATGCCCCCCCCCCCCCCCATAGTGAAGCCACTGCTTCTTGTTCTTAGTTTTAACATATAGACATCAGGTACTAACATGTGGACTGCTGACTGACTGGTGTTCAAGATGGCGTCATTGTAGTACTTGCTCTGATGGCTGAAGATGTAATTAAACCAGGTGTATATAGCAGTTGGTTTCAAATTCCGGAGAATGTAAGTTGCCTGAAGGGAAAAATAACCACAATGAGTGACATTTTAGAAAGTTGTTCCGCCTATCAAACAACTTCAACTAACCCTTCCTAAAGTAAATTAAGGTCCAATTATTATCGTTTTTTAACAACAGACGAGAACGAAAATGTGCATAATGATCCATGAATTTGTGTTGAAAGGCGCACAAGATTAAAACCGAACCCCCCCCCCAAAAAAAAAAAATGGATGATGAAATGTGACTCGGGGGGGGGGGGGGGCGGGTATATACACCTGCCAATTAAGCTAAAACCCTTGTTACTTTCATCAGTCATACAGCAATTATTTGAAGTTCAATATACCTGTGCCGCTGGGAATGCTGCCCGGTGGAATGGCAAGGGGAAGATGATTGCTTCGAAGGCAACCAGTGACGTGGAAGCATTGTTGTAATACTCAGCAACCTGCTCCAAAAATTCAAAGCTTGCATTATAGAAAGATCAAAGGATAATGGAGGATATACATATAATTATGGGACGAGAGGTCATCCGGTACTGGTTTTCGCTGATAACGATGGCTTCGCTACGGAAGAGGGCCACAAGCAATTAACAAAAATCTAAATTGGTAAGTCGCCGCAGCGAGATTGTAAAATCACTCAAAGAGCCATATGCGGACAATTCTTTTTGAGTAGATTTCACTCTTTTAGAGTGAAGTTTTCATCTTTTTTGCGCTTTGCACAATGGTCCATAGTGAAAAAACACTCTAAAAGAGTGAATTAAATTCCACTCTTTTTCAAGAGCCATGGGGGACAACTTCGGGTGGTTTTTCACTCTTTTTCATTTTAGAGTATATTGTACCATATCACAAAATTAGTTCAACTCACACTGTATGATAACTGTGAATCATGGTAAAATCATAGACTAACCTTCTGAAATGTAGGCCAGGCCGCTTTGCAGTCCGGGCAAGACACGTCGATGAATGCCTTGAATTCTACAGGTGCCTTGCACGGATCGCTGGCCGGGTACACGAAACCCCTCGGTGGCCTGTGGGGTATGGGGGCTTGGCCGAACACCACAACAGCCGCACATAACACCAACACCACGTACATGTACTTCATGATTCGCTTCACTTGGCTCAGTATTAATAATGCGAGAAGCTGTCTGAACAAGTTTATAGATGGAAAATGGTGTGTACGGAGATCCTATCTGTGCATGGAGGCGTGCACGCTTGTTTATATACGACAAGCACCCGTCACATGATTTAATTCAACATCAGGTGACTTGATAATAGTGAAGTCGGGAATTAAAGGACCAAAGTTCGAACCCGTGACCACTGAACCTATCGCATCATAGACTTGACCCAAGTCGGACTTACTCTGTTTTGTTCAATCCGTATATGCGTACTGTGCATGTACACGGAACACGGACCATGATCAACGGCGCGGCATAAAGAATCCCGACTTAGGTCAAGTCTAATCACATCATGATAGCCAAAGTTGCTGTGTCACTGGATCCTACGGACTTGTAACAAGTGTACCGTCTGCGTTAATGGATTAATACGAAAGCCCATTAGCGCCACTGCAAGTATATATGTTGCAGATTATGTAATTCGTTATTACGGATTATTAATTCGTTATTACGAATTAAGTCTGATGTTCTCACACGTGGAGAGCACGTGACCAGGGGCCTATGTATATAGCGCCGCTAGGCGGCGCTATCTTTGCATACGTTTGCTTTACACCAGCACCACTTCTGTGCTATACTAAGTTGCCGAGTAATGACTCAGAACGTATGAGTAATTCGTAATAACGAATTAATAATCCGTAATAACGAATTAAATAATCCGTTATAACGAATTAGTAATCCGTAATAACGAATTAATAATCCGTAATAACGAATTAATAATCCGTAATAACGAATTAAATAATCCGTTATAACGAATTAGTAATCCGTAATAACGAATTAATAATCCGTAATAACGAATTAATAATCCGTAATAACGAATTAATAATCCGTAATAACGAATTAATAATCCGTAATAACGAATTAATAATCCGTAATAACGAATTAAATAATCCGTTATAACGAATTAGTAATCCGTAATAACGAATTAAATAATCCGTAATAACGAATTACTAATCCGTAATAACGAATTAATAATCCGTAATAACGAATTAATAATCCGTAATAACGAATTAATAATCCGTAATAACGAATTAAATAATCCGTTATAACGAATTAGTAATCCGTAATAACGAATTAAATAATCCGTAATAACGAATTAATAATCCGTTATAACGAATTAGTAATCCGTAATAACGAATTAATAATCCGTAATAACGAATTAAATAATCCGCAACATATATACTTGCAGTGGCGCTAATGGGCTTTCGTAGATTAACGCTTGGATTTTGGATTTTGAAGTTGGAAGGGGATCTTTATCTGAAATGGAAGTTCTATGCATGCATGTTTAGCAGGTTGACTTTTTGTACCTCATGATGCAATTAAACATAGCGGCCCTATTCTTTCAGCGATTATTATTCTGTATTATGGCTTGATATTAAGTCTACAGAAAGCAGAACCGTTTTGTGCACCGGTACGGTGTTCAGACTGACCAATGACCCGTGACAAAAATAGACTGGCTTGTTTGCAATGTCAGTGCGCTCTATAGGCCTACACATGTACACTGAACGTGGGGTTCCAAAATTTAATGTATCGCTGACGGGAACTCTCATCGTCTTCTCGAAAAGTTCTCATATTAAAATGTTTTGAAAAAAAAGGAAACAAATGAGAACATTAGGGGAATTTTTCAGTCATTATTCAAAATTAGTATTATCTTCAAAGTTACAGAGTTTTTATATTGGATATTGTAATATGTTTTAAACAACATTTCCCTCTGTGTGTTCCGTTTTTGTGGACCACCTCTTGGCAAATTCTTGTTACATGAATTAGATGAGAACCCCACCCCCTCACGAACCCCCCCCCCCCACCCCCACCCCCCGATAAATCCTGCAAGTGAAGTCGGATCAAAGAAGTGAATAACCTTCTAGACACTCCTCATCATTTTGTACATGAAAACATTTTCTTTATTGCAGACAACATTATAGTTACTCCACTCAAACATGCATCATTTCAGAAACTGGCTAAGTTAAAAACAAACTATTCGTTTGCCTGCTTCAGGATCCCAAACGAATTATTGCTTATCTGTGTGAAAAAAAAAACTCAAAAAAATTTCAGAATAAAAACCAACATCTTCAATGTTGGTTATTTCATCATTTATGACCTTGCGTTACATGTCTCATATGATTTTTTTTAGCTGTACAAATTAGCTCATTAAAATCATTTTAATTGCCTTGGTATCTGTCTCATTAGCCATCTCAGCTCAATAGACCTTTATCATGCTGCAACCATTTCAGTCATGTTCCCTGTATCCAATAACAGTACTGAATGATGTTTTGTGCAAAAAAGGAACCAGACTATTTTTCTTTCCAGCCTCGCTTTGATTACTTTGATTTGAACGGAAACATGACAATGGCCTATTATTTAAAAACAGACGAATCTTTAAACCGAAAGATTGGATGGACACCTTGCCGAAGTCACTTTGGACACGCAACATTAATGCGCTTTGAAATTCAGATCTAAAATGAAGGAAAATTCTTGCAGCAATTAAATAAGATCAGTAACAGTACTGATCTCAGCTCAAACTTTGGGTATCATATTGTGTATTTTTTTATTTATCTGTTAGGGTTTTTTTGGTGTGAAAAGATGATATCTAAGTTATAGAAGACTTGGGGTCGAAATGAAAGCTGTCCAATGTCGATGTGTGCATGCACCGTTCCAAGAAGGTTTATCGTTTCTCAAAAGTGGGGGACATGCCTTGTAGCGAAGCATAACGGAGTGGGGTTCGGGGCCCGCTTAAGGGCCCGGACAATTTGGATTCTAGACGTTCTGTGGTGCGATCGGAGGCAATTTCTGACTTTTGTTTATACATTTTTCTGAGCAAAAGATCATAATTTAGCCTAAACATCATTTTCGAATTTGTAGTCATTGAATCAGCTATTTTGAGCTTTAGAATCAAATGTGGGCTAGGCTACACTTTTTATTCGGGGACGAGCAACGCGTGGTGGTGGTGGGGGGGGGGGGGGCAAACGATATGATACCCCCCCCCCCTTTTAAAAAATGTGGGGGTGTCCCCCGTCCCCCACCCCATGCACCGTTCAAATTATGATTGTGCATTACATTTTTTTAGTATTACACCTGTTGTCATTTTTAAATCTTTACTTGTCAGCTGCAAATCATTCTATCATCTCATTGAAGTACTGTTTGACGCTCGATATCTGTGGCCGGTCCTGCGTTATCTAGCATCGGCATCCCACATTGGGAATGCAAAACTCGCCATTCAAGCAGCACTCCATCTTCCCTGGCAGATACTTGCACTCCGCCTCGCCTGCAGGGCAGGTCTTCGGCATGTAGAACGCGTCCTGTGATTGGTTGAACGAGAATTTTAAATCAGTTCAAATAAAGATGACCGTTCCGCTGGTATCCACCGCCCTATCTCAGGGCGCTGGTGACAGTTAATATATTTGAGCTTTCATTGGTTTTAACGAAAGTTACCCTTACAGTTTTAACGAAAATGTATGTATGTGCACCGATCATGGCCTGTGCATTGTGAAACCTGGACTAGGCCTACATAAAAATACTGACTCATCCGTATTGCGCATGTCTCAGTGGACAGAAATGCAAAAAAGACAGGTCACATGTGTGAGATAGAATCCATATAAGGTAAAAGAGACCAAATTTCATAGGAGTCCAAATTTTAAATGACACAGGCAAGGTTACCCACAATGCTTTGCGTACGAATTTTGTGTAGGAGATAAACCGTCTCTTTCATGATAGATTGCACAAAAAAAACCACCACAAAGTCTTTACGGTACTTTTCCCCAGGCACTTACACTATGTGTTTCAACCTCCTATAGGCCTATATTTTAATACACTATTACTTCGCGAGCATAGCGAGACCAAAGATTTGTACTTATACGACAATATGGGGATAACGCACCCAAATGGTCAGGCATATACCTCATTGTAAATCAAGGGGTCAATGACCTGCCTCCAATCGTCCAGCGTCCAAGTCGGAGAGAATTCCACCCTTACACCATTGATGAAAGCACTCGGCGTGCCGTCTACCGTTCCTTTTGATAAAACAACGAAGGGTCTAATAATTGAGGGGTTATACACATCAGTGTATACGGGAACCAAAGGGCAAAAATGCCTCTCTGAAGGTTTGGGGTGAGAAGATAAATTGGACATATTTTTTTACCAACTGAGTACGCCGTTATTGACGCCATAACATTAGAGGTATAATCGCGAATTCAAGGTTTTAGTGACGTAGGTTTACATGTTGCTACATTCAAATACATTTGACTTTGTTAAACTTTCATAATCTTTTTTCAAATTAAAAATCAACTGTTCGTTCCCGACAAATTGAGTCATCCCTTATTCTCTCAAACCCGCCTCAAATGATAACCTTACTCCCGTTTTAGACGTCGATCCAGAGTCGAGTCGATCAAAATTATTTAGAAGACCAGACATAAGTTCGACGTTTGACACAATAATTAGGAACTAGTGCGAAAGATCGACTGTTGGAGCCTGAAAGTTGACCGCTGGTGGCGCGCTTCCGGACCCCTCAAATAGGAATATTAGCGTGTTAAAGTCGGAGTTATTTTTAAAAAGATTTGGTACATTGATTTCTTTAAAAAATCACCCTCGGAAAAGGCCTTTGTAAAACACCTTGATTCGGAAATAAACACTCATGATGCGCGCGGAGGTGGTTCAATCAATGGCTTTAAAATGGGAGTTAGCTACCGGTCGCCATATTTTTAGGGTGACGGTCTACCTCAGTGTTGGCTGATTTTTTGCTACCTCCCTCCGCTTCGTGTTATCAGGAGGTAGTCAGATCAGCCCACATGCACCTTCCCCTTAAACCATGTTACCTTAAGACAAGACTACTTGATAAAATGAAGGAGCTTACGTGTGCATCCGTATTTCCACATGACAATCTCTTCCTCCCAAGACGGGTCAGTGTCCTTGAAGTGGGTAAGGATGTCGCTCTTTGAGACGCCAGTGGCCATGTAGATATCCTCAGCCAGCATCCTAAGAGAGGACACACGATCTTATTTACCGCGGGATAACGAGACGGAGAGTTTTGATACTCGGATGGAGTCAATTTGAGTTGTCACAGATTTGGAAGAGGGAAAACTCATTTACGAGGTGAAATCGCTGGGCTATACGTTTCTGGGATGCTAAGCAAAAATATATATTGCTTTATATCATCAGGGGCTGATCTGGTTTCGGGGGACATGAAGGGTTGGGTGGGGGCTTACACGCTCCTTTCTACCCCCTCAACCCCCGCCCCCACCCCCTCCCCATCCGTTACTGACCATAGTAACCGAAAAAAGGGTAGCTCCTACTAGTTTGCAAAAAAATTCAAACAAAGGAATGGATATTTGCACACAATACGTTGTTTGTGTGAAATCATGTCAACAAAGGGTATATTAGTACGGGGAATCCACTGGCGTCGCCAGACTAATTTTGAACGGAGGGGCGTGACGACAAATTCGCCGGCAGACCACTCAGTGAATGGTAGCCATGGGACTTTTTCCGGTCTCCCGGCCGCGCAAATAACAAAAGTAGAGAGTTGGCGGGGTGGTGGTGGTGGGGGGGGGGGGGGGGGTATGAAGCAGACGATCTTGGGCAGTATCGGACGTAAGGTGCACGGCGCTATTTGTTGCGGCATTTATTTGCCGACAGGGCAGCACATTTTTGAAGTGGACCAGAAAATATTCAAGCAAAACTAAAACTTACTGGTGGACTTCTGACTGATTGAAGTTCAAGATGGCGCCATCGTAGTATTTGCTCTGATGGTTGAAGATGTAATGAAACCAGTCATAGGCGACTCCACTTTTCATATCCGTCAGAATGTACGTTGCCTGGAGAAGTAATAAAATTGCGTCAGAAAGTGAAAACTGCGAAAAGGTGTTTCGTCAGCTGAACAATATATTAAAGGAGCACTTTTGTCAGGAATGCGCCGTATTCCGCCAATTTGGGATCTTAAATCCGTTTCCCTCAAGATAAAAAAAAGATGTTTACGTACCTTGAAAAGTTCTTGTTTTTAAATAGGAAAGACAAAAAATGTGGCTTTTTTAGCATTTTTCTGAAAATGAAAAAAAAAAAATTTATACTGGAACTCAAATCGTTGAAATGTTAGTAAGCAGCCCGAAACACGAACTTAAGCGATATCCAGACGAATATCACCTCTAACTTTTCAATGTAATTTTGAAATAAGGCTCTAATTTTTGATAAACTCTAAATCTTTGAATTTGTGAAAGTTTAGTTTTTTCTTCAAAAAATTGAAGAATCGACTGACAGGCGTGAGGGATTCGATTTGAACAACCATCTCAGCCACCCATCACAACCAAACTAGTCAGTGGCAAGCAACTAGATCGAACTGACTGACCAACCAACAACAACAAAACAAGCACAACGACCAACAACACAGGATGCAATTTTTCTTCAAATCAACCACTCTGCTCACTTCAAGCAAGTTACCTGAGCCGCAGGGAAGGCCGCACGGTGGTACGGCAGAGGAAAGATGAGCGTCTCAAACGCAACCAATGCAGCGGTCGCATTGTTGTAATACGCTGCAACCTGTTCAACAAGAATCCAAATTCGGCAAGTATTCATTCATCAGAACGGAGTGCGAACTTCTATTCATAAAATACACATGACAGGGCAAAAATCATCACCTTTTCGGATCCCCCCCCCCCCCGTGGTTTTCCGTCAAACAGAGCAACAAATTGAAATGTCAAATGTCGAATGCGGATGCCTGTTTCCCGCATCAGTCAAGTTAATAAGAAGATAAGGAGCCGGATGGGAATTTCCCCGTGTTTTCTCCCAAAAGGGTTTTCGCGGGGTTTTCGCCCCTCCCGTAATCAGCGAATATAGTTACAGCAATATTTTTTTCTTTTCTTGATGTTACAAGACAGATCCAAATTTTTTCGTGTTCACTGAATCAACTTTATAGTAAAGCATTCATACTATACATGTAGTTATAATAGTTTTAAAATATATTGTATTTATAATATTTGCTTAAGACCTATGCATTATTCAAATAATGTTTTATCTCACTGTATTGAATTTTATTGTATTTGTAATGTATTGTATAATTATACATGTTTGCAGTCATTATTTATTGTATGCAGGGCCCCAATGGAAACCAATTTTAGACTGTTTGGGCATACCCTGGGTAAAGAAATGGAATAAATAAATAAAGTTTGACAAGCGCTTTCTAAAAGCAATTCACAAATGATACGAGATGAAGGGAAATGAGTCTAATAAATGTCAACTCCAACTCACTCTGAGGTGTGGAAGACAAGACATGCGGGTTTATTTTTCTGAAAAACGATTTCAGTTTGACGCTTCGTAGCAAAATATGAAAGGAAAGACAATGTACTAAATTATACAATATTAATGAGCGCTTATTTACTTAGTTCTCTGATAGAATGAATCAGACTTGTGACTGTTTCTCTTGATATGAAAAGGTTACCTTTTCAGGAACTTTTTTTCAAGGGCCAATAGCGTGGTTAGATATACATCCCCGTACATGACGTTTTGGCGCTAAGTAGAAGTATTCGAACAAGTTAAAACCACGGTTCCATGCCATTTACCTGCTTACATTTGAGAAATCATTCGCAACCCCACAACATAGCCTTTAATGTTGTCACGCATCTGTCATTTCCAAGATTTGTATAACACTCTCACTGATAAAAGGGTATACAACCAGAAACCGACAAACCAGCATAACACGCACTCTGGTCATTTTCCGAGTGATACAGAACCAACTAACCTGTTCAAATGTCGGCCATGCTGTCTTGCTGTGAGGGCAAGCCAGGTCCACGAATGCCTTAAACTCAACGAGTGCCTTGCAAGTATCGCTGGCCGGGTACACGAAACCTGTAGGTGGCCTGTGGGGTATGGGGTTTTGGCCGAACACGACGGTGCCCAATGTACCCAACAAAACTACAGCCACAAATAACAACATCGCGTACTTCCGGATTTGCTTCTCACAGTCCAATAATATTTGTGGAACTGGACAGGTTGATTTACGGGACGGGTAGTCGTGTTGACACGAAAGACACACATGACAAGCATCAGGTGACTTGATAAAAAAATATCAAAGTTTTCTGTTATCAAACCCGTGATGAACTGAACAAGTTGCTGTGCCATTCAATGGAGCAGACAACACGGTAGATTTGTATTAAGTCTAACACGCTAACGAAATTCTATACATGGCATTCCAGGTTCAATATTTTGAAATTTACCTGTTTCGAAACCTTCATTTTTGCTACGGTAAAACATGAGGACCTTTGATCTAGTAAAAAAACTGTATAGACTGGAATGAAGTCTACTAACTCGTAGCCTCTACTTTGTTCATGCCCGTCACGTACTGTCACACTGGTTAAGAGTGGTGTTCATGCACTAGCATATTATACAAATATTGAATGCTTCGAGTGGTGTAGTAAAACTAGCCTCCTGAGGTGATCCATGGACATTCTATTTTCCCGAGGCGAAGCCGAGGGAAAATAGAATGGTCCATGGATCATCGAGGGAGGCTAGTTTTACTTCACCACGAGATAAAGCATTCAATATTTGTTTTATAACACTTCACCCACAGATTCTGCTTGATTTTAATATTTTAAATTATTTAAATCTGAACACAGTTGAAATAAACTTCAATTTCAATACAAAATTGGTGGAAAATGTATTTCTCTCTTCCAAACTACCCCTTCACGAAATGTTTGAACCCTAGTCTGCGGCGCGCTCTCTTTGGAACAATACGCGCTACGCGCACACAAGCATCCATTTGCACACAAATACCGCGCCGTGGAAATAGTACTTTGGTTGCCAATGGTATAGTACTTAAGTTGCTACGGGTATAGTACTTTTGGCCGTGCACAGAAAGATAGCAATATTAGAAAGTAACATGTGACTCGCTCTCGGCCAATCAAGACACAGAATCTGTGGGTGAGGCGTTATAATATAGACTATAGACTATGACAGTTAGCTCCAAAGTGCATACTTGCAATCTTCAACAATTATTATGCACAATGTGGGGTTCCAAACTTTATAAAAACAACCAGTCGGCAGTGATGCTCAGAAATATTTCCATCATTGAAATAGAAACTGTTCTCAAGGAGAGCTACTGGTTAAAAAGGTGTATTTTTACATTCAATATTTGTCCTCTATATTTTAGAATTCAATGATGTTCTTACAACTTTCAAAATTGTAATCTTAGCATTACATGAAGTTTCGACATTTTTAACCTTAACATTTTTATTTCAATGACTAGTCTTGCCAAGACAAGCCAAACCCAAAATCTCAGTTTAGGGCAGTATTTATACATGTACTCAGTGACTCAGTCAGTGACTCAGTCACTCAGCCAATCAATCAGTCAGTGACTCAGTCAGTCAGGACACAAGGCTGGTCCTTTGGATCTAAAAAAAATGTTTCTTGGTTGAAACTACATCTACTTTAATAGGAAGAAAAAAATTGCATTCAACACTTCAACAAAGAAAGCAAGTGGACAAATCTGTTATTACAGCCAAAAACTTTGTTTTAACGTTTAATTCCGCCTCTACAAAAACACTGGCATAGCAATTACAGATATAATACAAATGTACAGTTGGCTCAAAGTCATGGGAAGTGAGTACCACCAGTAATGTGATGTACTCAGGAACAGAATAAGGTTTCCAAAATTAGACTTTCTTTTCAACCAATGTTGTAATCCACAATTTATCAAAAGTTTCCAAGAGAACTTTAAAGGTAGAGTATATCATTTGCAGCTATCCAAAAAGTAACGGACATAATTATTGTTGAAAAGCATGGCGATGAACTCCCTGTGAAATTATTCCTTCTGGCATGCTGTCATTTTGAAGAAAACAATAAAAGAAGGCCATTTCCAAAGATGTGTTTACTGACACATTTTTGGAAATATCCCTAAGTAGTGGGTTTATAATTCTGCGAATCCATGAATGGGTGCACGCAAGCATTGACCCAATGTACACGTGCTCGCGGTTGCTATTATTTGCCAGTTCAGTGCGTGAAATCGCTAGCTGCAGTCGCCTGAATGAGAACGTGTCCCAAGTGCTGATTTTGGCCGCAATTCAAAACATGACTCGGCAACTTTTGAATTGAAATCGACATCCTAGAATATTGTTTCCTTGAAAAATACAGCATTCACTGAGCTAAAAATTCATCAGGTGAGTTGTTAAGCATAAAGCACCTGTCTTTAGATTTTGAGCACTTTTGTTGCTTCAAACGAAAATAACAAGGAACAAATGACAAATGAACTACCCTACCTTTAGTTTAAACCTTTAAAGAAGGGAAATAAAATGTGAATACATGCCACTTTAATTTTAAACGCTTTTTGATGTTTTGTTACACCCCTTGGAGTGTTTATGAACCCTGTGGTTTTAAATGAGTAAAAAAAAAATTGTGATAGTCGGAAAAGTTTTATCTGTTGGTCATATATTTCTCTTTTAAAAAAATGCAGACTCCACAAATCCTTCAAGAAATCGGTGTCAGTTTTTTAAAAATTTGTGTATTTGTGAATTTGTTTGCATTTATTCATTTGCCATTCAGCAGGATATCCAACAAATTACAGTTTTAGAGGTGAGAGGAAAACCCCAGAATGCATGCAATGCCAGGGAAACCCACAGAATCAGGTAGCTACTTAAACCCAACCCGTATGTTGTCCTCGAGCGGGATTCGAACCTGGGTCACATTAGTGGAAGGCGAGGAAAGAACCGCTACAGACAGGGCTGTAACAACAGCATCAGGCATTTCCTTTAATGGATTCGTTTTTGAAGGCGTTGATCAGTTCCTGGTTTATCAGAAAGATGAATCGAAGACCCGCAATCTGTCAAGAAAAAAAAAGGATATAACAAAACAAAATAACAAGCTCTTCAATGTTATAAATATAATATTTGACATGTATGCAGACATGAACCTAAAAGTTTGGCTTACACAAAAATCTCAGATTATAACACAACATCTCCAGATTATGAAAAACTATTTAATACAAAAAGCCAGTTAAGAAATTTACTTACTCATACAGCTCAATTTTTGATGGCCTTAATAATTTATGTGATGGGTATGCTATATATTGCATTGAAGCTGTGTGGTGTGTATATGGGCCAGGAGATATTAAAGATATAGTTATAAGCGGAGGCCCCAAATTCCATGACACGGACCCAAATCCAGTCGCAGGCGGCAAAAGACCCAGACTCAAACATCATGACTCATAACTTGTAATTTGTAAAAAAAAAAATTAATTTACCTTTTAAAAACATATGTAACCAAGGTACTCTTATAGGTACTCAAAAGAATGTTAATTACACAAAATTGGGTCCTTTAAAATTTTGTTTATGTGGGTTTTTTGGGGTCATTTACAATCCTTATTTTAGTAACATACACTTGGTAAGCACATCAACAGAGATCCAGCTATCTCAGTGAATTGTTTTGAATGTTCTTATGAAGCTGTTTAAGCCTCTTTTGGGGGTGGGGCAACATTTTAAAAAGTGGGGGTCACATGTCGCTAACAGAAAATCGACCTGTAAAATGCAATCTTGAGGTTTTTTTGTTTTTGTTTTTGTTTTTGTTTCAATCCATTATAATTTGGCAAGAAAAAAACGTTTACATGTCAACTCATAAATTCTTTGGCTCCCATTAGGGGGGCGTGTCACACTTTTTTTCACAAAAAGGGGGGCATACGTGTATTCCAAAAGGAAGTTTATGCGAGCCCATATGGATTATTGCGAATTCCTTCAAACTCTCACAAACACCTCTGGACACCTCAACAAGTGACAATCTGCTCCACCCCGTATTTTCTGTCATGTTTTATTTTCAATGAAATAGTTTTTAAAAAATGAATAACATAATATAATACATTTGCGGGGTGAATATACAAGAGAGGTCTCCCACTGAAAAAAAGGCGCTCTCTCTTGCCCACAACATTTCAAAAAAGGCGTATATGGACCTTTAGGTAGCAGTCATCAAGGCAATACATTTGTCTTGCTGTGACATACCAGAAATAAACCTTTTAAGCACTCATTGTTACTGAATTAAAATAACAAAAGATGCCCTATAAGACGGCCGCTATACTCATAAAGTCTACCCATGAGGTCTAAGAAATACGAAGGCTGCTCAAGTTTAAGGAATAAGTCAATCTGGCATGAAATGTAATCATGGCCTACGTCAAAGTGAAAATGCACAAAACGCTGCTCCGTCCCATAAATTCAAAACTTTTATTTTTCGATTCATTGACATTCAACGGTTGTATTCAAAAATGCTATCAAAAGCTTGGAAAACACAACGACTATCCTCTATCAATAGAATTTCTGTAGAAATATAACTATGCAGTTTTTCTAGTATATATTTTCCTGCTCAGTCTTGCAATTGACTTTGTATTTCGTTAATCTTTCAGAAATTTGAGATAATTAACACACTGTTATAATGCAACTCAAAATAATTATAATATACACGACTACATGTAATTGTCGCACAGATTTTTCATATTATTCAGGGAATTATTGTAATTAAGGGAATTATTGTTGTTAATGTATTTTTACTCTGTTGGACGGTTTTTAATCAAATTTGGCATACTACTTTTAATTGGATAGTTGTATTTTTGGGAGACAGGTGTTTTTACCAATTAATCTGAATAAATAAAGTATTATTCCATCCTGTATGCTCATTGTCTCTGTCCCTTTGCCAGATTCATGCTATTGTGTCTCATTCAGTGCACATCACTGGAGTTCGTTTCATTCCCTTTAACCCGTTTCTATCATTCCGTTCCCCCTGTGAGCGTCCTTCGTTTGTCTTCTAAGGCCAAAAAAAAAAAGTCTCCGGTTTCTGGTATGGAGCTTGCCCAAAAAGTGGTGTGGCGACGCGGCTTTTTTTTTTTTTTTTACCTGATGTTTTTGCTTCAAATGTCTGCTGATGACTGCAAATGGTGCCCGACTAAACTTAGTGCAAATATATGGGAGTCCAGAGAGGCCACATAAAGCTTATTCTCGACCATAACCCAATCTAAAAACACCTTAAAATTGTGCAGCAGCATGATTCCAGTCAAACCAGTGAGTTTGGCGGTTTTGAGACATCATCTTTCATTGAAAAAACAAACTTTTTCATTTTGCCGACGCGCATGGCTACGGCGACGCGGGCGCATACCAGAAACCGGAGACTTTTTTTTTTGGCCTTAACTCAAAACTCTGTTTTCCACACCAAATTATAAGGGATTGTAACAAATACAAAAACAAAACAAAAAAGCTCAAGATTGCCTGTTACAGGTCGATTTTCTGTTAGCAACGTGTGCCCCCACTTATTTAAAAGGTAGCCCCACCCCCAAAAGAGGCACAATTGTGGAATTTTTTTTCTTTTGATGTAGCACTTGAGTTAACTGTCCAAATATGAAAAAGAATTTTTTTTTTTTTATAATTTTTTACGCGCGAAGCCCCCCACTTTTTAAAATCATGGCCACGCCCACAAAAGGGTCAGAAAAAATGGCATCAAGTGGTTTGGAACTTCTGGAGGTATCCTCTAGTGATCCTGAGAGTTTCAAAGAATGTACCTGAAATTGCATATGGGGGGTCATTTTCGACCGTAAGCCCACTGACTAGAAGGACACTATGATTTAACATGCTGCTTAAGCAAATGTTTAACCCTTTCCTTCCCATTGGCGACTTTTGTCGACAAGAAGTACCCCCCTGCTGGTTCCCATGGGCGACTTTAGTCGACCAGGAAACCACACACAAAACATCCTCAGCACAGATATATTCACTACTTTTCAGAAAGGCAGCATGTTGATATGTTTGGCCGCCCATACATCAACTATATACCAGCTAAAAGAGTGTTTTCGGATCTTTCTAATGGTGTGGTTTATTCATAGTGTTACCATTACAAAAACATGAGAAAAGTGCTTCAGAAAGTATCCACGCACAATTTGAGGTATGGAGTGCCATTAGGTCATGTGGTGAAATGGCTTGCAGTTTGATAATTGGGACCAGATGAACAAAAAGGCATAACTTTCTTATATTTGCACGTATGGACTTCATTTTTACATCACATAAAAGAGTAAGGTTCCAGGAACAAACTTTACACACAGCACCTATGATTTTAATCACTCCTTGGCAGTGAAAATCTGGGTTGAAAAAAGTGAGTTTTCGACTCGTGCTCATTTTTTCACGCTCTAGTGATTTCCGCATGACTGAGCAAACAATTCGGTCCTGGGGAGAGCCAAGTCAATAAACAATGTGGGCATGAAAGGGTTAAGGAAGGTCGTTGGCCTACAAATGTAAATAACTTCAAAATTAGTAATATTTTAAAATAAAAATGCGCTATATTATTCTAATTACTAACAAATTTCATGAGTCAAAATTTCAGCCTTGTGTGATTTTTTAATTAAGAAATGGGAGCACAAAACCTATCAACTGTTTTTTGCATGCATGGGCTGCTAACATCCTTTTCTTTTTCACATGGAGATTTAAAGTCTGACATTGAATGGCTCCTAAAGCTAGTGTGTTTTTTGCAAATATTGTTATCAAGAACCCTTACCTCAACTACGGAGTTGTTATTGAGTTTACTCTTCATTCCTTTGATGATGGCTTTGCCGTCCACGTGGATGGCCCGTTTGCCCTCATTAGCGATGTAGAATTCCCCGTTGTTTCTGAGCTTGATCAGGCCCTGGCGCCGGGATATCTTCCAAGCTGGACCTTCCAGTGAGAGGTCGACGTCGATGGTGGTGTCCGAGGTGGAGCGGCCAATTGTAATCTGTCAAAAGAAAGTAAATTATTGAATTGATTTCCCATTTGATGAAATACAAAATGTTTAAAGGTAATATACAACATTTGCTTTTGATGTAATTTTCAGATATGGATGGATTGGCCGTTAGTATTCATAGCAAATATTGTTTTGTGTTCTGGGATGCTGGAAAAAAAAAACAAGAAAAAATGCTGTTCTTGTAGTCTGGTTCCCTGATCCTACCTCAGAAGAAACAAAGCAATTTATAGAGGTCGGGGAACTGTCAGGTCAGGGAACCAGACTAGCTGTCTTGCACCCCTTAACGGATGTGTAATTGATAAAACAAAATTTAATTTGGTAAATTGGGGGTAGTATTTGGAAAAAAGACATTGTTGGAAATTAATACAAAATTCCATTTTTTTTGAAAATGACAGCACACCAGGTGCCTTGATTTCACAGGATCCTTGAGAATATTATTTACTTACAGTCAAGCAAGGTATTTCATAATAACCTGTTAGTTTTGTTTTTTTGATGTTTGCAAATGTTGTACATGTATATTGCCTTTAAGCTTTGAACGAGTACTCCTATTTACAAAGATATGACATAAAAGGCCTTTGCTGCCGTCTGCCTGCTGGCAAATGTTTCTTACGCAGACAAATATAGTCACTGACCATAATACGCAATTACGCATGTGTAAGACATATCAGGTGATTAAAAAAAAAAATATGTATCACGAGAATATCAAAGCGACACTGTGGCATATTGTTAAACGGTGTTTGATTTTGGATACTGGATGCAGTATTAGTTAGAAAACCCAGTGATGCAATGTATTTCGCTCTTTTTTGTGAATTTTCTTTGCTGGATGTGGGTGCGCTAGATGCCACTGACCTCATTTGACCTCATAAGATATCTGACCAGACGACCTCTCAGCACGGCTAGAGTCTGACCGTCAAACGCCGGCGATGTCATTCCTGGGAAAGGAAGAGGGAGACAACAATTGAATTTAAGGTCAATAAAACCTAGAAAACAATGGAATACATACATCACATATTTCTTGGTAAGGGATTTTAAAATGAAACTTTTACCCCTAATCCTCCATTAAAGGGAACATGCAACATTTGCTTTTGCTGTAATTTTCAGAAATGAATGGATTTGTGGGTTAGTATTTCATAGGAAATATTGTTGACTTGTTTGAAGTTTTGTGTTCGTAGATGCTGGGAAAAATCAAGAAAAACAAATGTTCCTGTAGTCTGGTTCCCTGACCCCACTTAAGATGAAACAGAGCAATTTATAGACGTCAGGGAATTGTAAGGTTGGGGAAACAGTCTAGCTGGCTTGCACCCATTCATAGGTGTGTAATCGATTGCAAACAAATGCAACCTAACTAAATAATGGTAATTCGGGGGCAGTATTTGAAAAAAGCCAGTTTTTTCCAACGCTGGTCGGCCGACCAGCATTGGAAATTGATACAAAAATACCACTTTTTGAAAATGAGGGGCACATCAGGTGCCACGATTTTACAGAATGCTTTAATCTGTCATTCTCTAAAAGTCCAGTAAGGTATTTTCTCATTAATTTGGTAGTTTTGTTGTTTGATGTTTGCAAATGTCGTATATTCCCTTTAAGCTAATGCCTTACAGAAAGATAAAGGTCAAGCAAAGATATACATGTACACACTTTTTGAAGTACTGATTTTCATTAAGTCATCACATAGAGGCAGAGAGCAAGTCACCTTGTATATTGCCTGTTTTTTTTTCTGAATCAACTGCTTCCAACTCGCGCTATACTCCTAAGACCGTACCGTGGTCACAAATGCTATAACCATGTTCATAATAAGGTGTCAAACTATTAGCAACCAGGAATAATAATAAAACCATTCTTATATAGCACATATCACCGTGAGGTCCCTATGCGCTCTCATGAAATCAACAATTATACAAATTGAACAGATATGTTTTGACCCGGGTTTAGAATTGTTCTGATGTTTCGGCCTGTTTGACAATATCTGGTAAGTTGTTCCATAACTCAACTGCAGCTGATTGGAAGGAGCGGGAACCATATGACTTAGTTTTAATGACTGGGGGTGACAACAGAGATTTATGGATAGAACGCAGATTTCTAGCTGGCCGGTACTCCTGAACTAAACTTTGAAGATAAACAGGGGCTGTACCATGGATACATTGATATGTAAGAACCAAAACTTTAAGGAAGTGAAAATGTGCACATGCTCAGTGATCCATGGAGTGTCAAAAAAAAGCCCGCTTTGTGGATCACCTTGAGGGGCGTGTTTTCATAACAGACACCGTGCATGAACAGATGGTATCATGCGACTACGCATACGAGAGCTCCATTGTTTGGGACAAAGCACATGAACACACAGGTGCATGCGGGTATGGCAAAAAGTATGAAAGGCTAATTTTATTGCCGATTTGCACAGATGTGTAGCTTCTTTGCATAAGCATTACACGTAGCGTCTTTGCATAAGCATTACGTGTAGCGTCTTTGCATAAGCATTACGTGTAGCGTCTTTGCATAAGCATTACGTGTAGCGTCTTTGCATAAGCATTACGCGTAGCGTCTTTGCATAAGCATTACATGTAACGTCTTTGCATAAGCATTACTCATACAGTGGTAATGCATTCAAGTGCTCCTCACTCTCTCTTGGTGACATTCAGCGAGTATTAGTGCATTGAATCTACACATTTACAAACAGTCTTCCTTTGTGTACTGTGGGTGGAAGCGTATCTTTCATCCTACCTGTGACGCTATCCACGAGGTATTGCCATTTTGTGATTTCGTTCTCCAGGTTTCGAATTTCGCGTTTCTGCCGCCGGTCAAACACGGACAACTCTGCAACAGAAGTAAAAGACACGGCACAACCATGTTAGGCCATTCTCTCACTCTCTTCAAGTTTTCTCTCGGCTAATGGTGACCCAATAAAATCCTACCACAGCATGAGCCATAATCCAGAAAAATTAAGGAAAAAAATAATCACAGTGATTTTTAATAATAATCTGTTCAAATTTACAATCTTTATAAAATACAATGAGGGATCAAATATTTCATCAATGAAAAAAATTATTTTAGGCTTTTCTCAGTTATAAATTACTACATTAAAAACAAATTTTGTTAACGGTAACCCTACTTCTCAGATTAACTAGTCGTTAACAATATTGTACTACAGAAAGCATGTGCAGCGATCATTCTTACCATGTTCAAGGATGTCATCTCTCTGATCCCTATACACCAAAACAAAAACAAAACAAAACTGATTACCAAAAATGAGAGAAAGGTCGATGCAATACAAAGCCAGTGGGTTTCTTTTCCATTCCAAAAATTCCTGTTTCTCCATTCCAGAAAATCCCAAATTCTGAGATAAATTTAAAACCACACCATAAGCTCATGAGTAATGAGAGACAAAGAAGTTTCTAGTACTTACTGGAGTTGGGTGTCGTCTAACATATCTTCAGCATCTGAGAAGTTGAGTACATGATCACCCCTCGGCATTGGCTGGACTGTACAGAAGGAGAGAAAAAAACAGAGACAAAAAAGAAATATATCACCTGAACATCGCTATTAAAGTTGAATGGGGCAGTCATCCCTACAAATTTCGGTGAGTGATTTGCAAAGAAATTTGAAAGGATGATTTGTTGGCTCACCTGATTGGTCAGGCAGTACTCATTGCCTCAGTGAGTAACCAATCAGAGTGAAGGATACAAAAGACTGCAAAGTGATTATTTGTCGGCTCATCTGATTGGTCAGGCAGTTTACACTGCCTCTGAGAATAACCAATGAGAGTGAGAAATAGAGATGATGTGTCGTCTCATCTGATTGGTCAGGCAGTGAACATCACTTCAGTTAGTGACCAATGATAGGACAATACTGCAAAGCATGATGTGTCAGCTCACCTGATTGGACAGACGGTAAAAACTGCCTTAGTGAATAACCAATCACAGTGACAGATATAAAAGCCTACTCAATGACAATATGTCAGCTCACCTGATTGGTCAGGAAGCAGGTGATACTGTTTCATGAGCAGCCAATGAGTGTAAAGAGCTTTGGCTGTCCTGGCTGGATGGAAGGAGGTTGGATTCTTGTTGACTAATTCTTGAAATGTTTCCACGGTTGGTTGACTAGTCTGTAAAAAGAAAAAGTCAAAGAGAGTAATAGAGATTATATTCTGTTTGGACAGACTTGAACTTTGTGAAGTTTTTTTTTTCAAAAGCTACAAATACCGTGTCAACTTTTGAGCACTGGCAGCAGTAATGGTACAGTCACAAGTCCTGTCACAAGTAAATCACAAATCCTTTCACAAGACCACTCAAAAGTAAACAGGGGTGTCTAATAACAAAGGAATGCCTTTGTCACGGTTCATTTGAATAGCTTGACTTGGGCCTAGATGACTTGTGATTTATTTTATTTATTTATTTCTGGTAATGAAACCAAGGATTCCTCAAAAGTGCCCTAGGCACTGTAGCTCGCAAGCCTGAGGAAACCTATAGAGACGAGATAATGAGAAGAAATTCCAGTTTTCAAGATGGGAGGAAAACCCCAGAAGAATATTAAGGGGAAAACCCATGGAATCAGTGGGGACTGAAAACCACATCCACATGTGGACCACGGCAGGAATCGAACCCGGGCCACAGCGATGGAAGGCGAGGACAGTAACCACTGCGCCAACCTGACTCCCCAATGATGGACTTACGACAGAATTGTGAGGATCTGTGATGGACTTTACTACAACACACACTGGCAGGGGTTGCATCACTTTATTCAAAATAACAAACTTTCTATCTCGCTTTCCTTCGTTGTTGAGAAACGAGTGAATGTAGACTTACGGAAGTGACTGTACCGAGCAACTTTTCTTCGTCTTCGCTGTAGATAGCTTTACTGACGACAATAGCCTTGACTTCTGGGTGTAACGACCGCATTGCCTGCTGGGATAGCCTGGAAAACAATATCCAAAAAATTACACAGACGTGCCCTGTAACAACACACCAAGGATACTGGTTGAGTCTAATTTTAAATACCTTTTATTTTATTTTTTAAGTGCGCTTATGATTAAAAATTACAGTCAGAAGTATGCCATTACTAATTGTCACAACACAGTCATGTGCCAGTTTAAAGGTGCTCACAATTCCTGACATTTTCATAACAAGATTTTGAGATGGCAGATCAGTTCATGAGCTACAGATGTCGAGATCTCCCTAACAAATATTTAATAGGTCCATCACAAATTTTACGTAAACAGTAAAAACAGCCATGGATTGACATCACATATGGAAGTGTACATATTCATTAGCTTAAAGCTATAAAGGTAAATTACTAATTAGCTACACTGTAATTAGTATACATACACTTTTCTACCGTTGAAAAATGGAGGAAAAAAACATGGTTCAAAATGAAGATAATTAATTTGTATATTATAAACTTGAAAGACAGAATCAACCTACTTTGATATGACGGGGTCATACAGCAGAGCGTACCATCTCTCCTCGACCTCCTTCAGAGTAAATCGACAGGAGAACTTCACTCCTTGGTAAACAGTCTCCAAGTCATTGGTCTGACAGAAACAAGATTGTGAACCCATCAAACTAAACTGTTGAATGGGATGGTGCCAGACTATTTATACATTCTAGCCTCACTTTTTTTGTTTCTTTGGCTTAAAACATTAGGGTATGTTTAATCACAAATTTGAAATTACTCATTAGAGCAGACTGGTATAATGTGTAATTAACTACATGTCGTTGCTTTCATTTCTCTTTGTAAGTTCTAAAAATGAAGATTTTACCTCACTTTACATTCGATATGGCCGACTCGTGAATAAGGCCCATTATGGTAACGAGTCGCCCGCTCCTCCAGCGAGTCACCCACTAGGAGGGTGATCAACTCATGAGCTATCAACTCGTGAACACACACTCATACACAACCCTAGTACTCTGTAGTATAGCTGTGATGTTTTGCATATATTACCATTGAGGATGCTGTTGTTACACAGATAAAGTTCTGAAGAAATGCTGCGTGAAAGGATTTAGTTGCAGAGTTGCAGTCAAGCCATTACAAGTCAAAAAGTCAATCACAAGTCATCAAATGTCATAAAAAGTCAATCATAAGTCATAAAAGTCAATCATAAGTCAACACGAGTCAATCATAAGTCATAAAAGTCAATCATAAGTCATCACAAGTCAATCAAAAGTCATAAAAGTTAATCATAAGTCATCACAAGTCAATCATAAGTCATCACAAGTCAATCATAAGTCATCACAAGTCAATCATAAGTCATCACAAGTCAATCATAAGTCATCACAAGTCAATCAAAAGTCATCACAAGTCAATCAAAAGTCATCCAAAGTCAATCATATTAAAGTCATCACACGTCAATCATAAGTCATCACAAGTCAATCATAAGTCATCACAAGTCAATTAAAAGTCATCACAGGTCAATCACAAGTCATCACAAGTCAATCATAAGTCATCACATGTCAATCATAAGTCATCACAAGTCAATCATATGTCATCACAAGTCATCACAAGTCAATCATAAGTCAATCATAAGTCATCACAAGTCAATCATAAGTCAATCATAAGTCATCACAAGTCAATCTTAAGTCATCACAAGTCAATCATAAGTCATCACAAGTCAATCATATGTCATCACAACACAATCACAAGACATCCAGTCTTAAGTCAAGGGACACGATTTCGTTAACATTGTTCATCCGTTGCTTCTTGAGATCTGACTAGTGACTGGCCTGTGGTGATACAGTTACCATTCTGGCATTTGTTTCGGCCAATACCATACCTGCTGTACAGCACTGATAAGCAGGAGGTCATCCTGTGGTTTCCATCGTCCGTGATCTTTAGCGATGGACAAGAGGGATTTGGGCTTCTTGGAGCGACGGCTTGTTGAGGGGGGTCTGTGAGAGGAAGACGGGCGATGACTGTGGGATGTAGACGGGCGGGAGGATACCTGCGTGGTGATGAGAAACAAATGAGCAAGATAACATGAATAATAAGCCTTCAGTCGACTTGAGCAACTCTGCTCTGAAATGCAACTGAAGTGATTCCACCCTCAGAGTAATGACAGCGTTCTTTGGAAGGATCAACTTTCGGTGGAACCTGATTTTTCCAAGAGTCTAATAAACGACAGCTTTTGAGAAATTTGAGGATGTCAGGAATCCAATGTGATTGGAAGAAAGGGATTCCATAGAGCTTTTTCCGACCTGTTTTGTGAGTGAAATCTTACACTCGGAGGGAACATTAGGTAATAAATGATCTAGCTATGAGTGCAGGATAAAACATTCATTACACTGCTAAGTCCTTGTATTTTCTTTTCTTTTCACTAATATTCACTTCATAAATGAATTTTAGGATTTCTCCTTTCAAACGTAAACATTTGGAGTCACTTCCTAACTATATCTAAGCAAAATTGCAATTCCTTGGGGAGAACAAGAATTGATTCTTAAAATGTGTTGAGTACAAAGACTACCCCTAAGAACAATATTAACTTTAAGGAGTGTTGCCTTTATTAAAATATCGGAAAATTGACCGACTCTCTCTTTGCCTAAAAAAAAGCATTGATGGGGTGGTGGACCACACAAAAAAGGATAAATCCAGACCTTTCTCCTTTCTGTGGTGGGCGGATGGTGGACAGGCGGCTTCACTATTTCCTTCTCTTTCTCTTTCTTTTCCTCTTTCTCGACAGGAGGCGGCTGACCGGACGGAGACGTCGTTGATGACACTTTGCCCTTGGAAGTCTAAAGATTAAAAAAAAGTGTTGACCCAAACATCATGGATAACATAACTTATTTTCTGTGTGGAGTTTGCTACTTGTTGTTCTATGCTTCCTGTGTAGTTTGAATTTTTTTTGAATTTACGTTGTGAAAATCTAAATCCAAGTTACCTAAAAAGAGGCACATACTATCTGTAAAGGCATATAAGATCATTTGCACTTACCCTAAAAGTATTATAAAAATATTATCAAAAACGTTCTTGCATTAATTAATATATTTAACCCAGCTGAATTCAACAGGATCCAACTATATCATACACCCATTGGAGCCTGTTGGAGCCTGTTGGATTGAGCAGTAAACCCCTTGTTCAAATGTACATATTTAGAGTCGGATTCTGTTGAGTACTGATAAATAACGCCAAGTTGGACTCTGTTGGATCCAGCAGACAACTAAATATTAACTACAATTGGATACTGTTGGATTGAGGAGGCAGTAACCGTTGGACCCTGTTGGATTTAGCTACTTCCAGAACTGTAAGGTTCTTTTACAAACCTTACAGCAAGACCAATTGAAGTTGCTGAAGCAGAAAATTCTCAATTTTTTCAAACCTCCATTCTCTCCTGCCACGAAATGCTCTGCCTCAATATTTCATAAGTATTATCTTGATGTGGATAAGTACCTCTAGGGTGGGTTGAAATCCCTCAAATGTCAAACAAATATGTGACATTTTTACCAGAATTTTGTTCACCAGGATCACAGGAGTCTCTCACTCGGCTGTCTCTCATCATTTGCCGTCGACTGAGAGCACTTTAATTCTCTTGACCAACTACAGCGTGGCTTTCGTTACGAGAGTGCTTCCGTGCCTTGCGCGATGAAACGAAAGCCGCGCTGTAGTTTTGGTCTTCTAGTAAAAGTGCTACACAGATAATAATATAAGAACTCATGCAATTGGTTTGACATACATTTACCTTGAGTAGACTACTCTCCACCAGCTCATCGTCAAACTTCTTCCGCTTGATGGAGCGAGACGAGCTTCGTCTCTTGGTGGAGTTGTCACTGATGAGTGGTGAGATGCCGTACTGGGGAACCATCTTGGGTATAGTCGCAGTCCCCGTCGCGGTGACCACGGTCCGAGTGACCGCAGGGCGTGACGCCATTTGGGGCGTTGTTAGTTGGCTGGTACTTGCTGTAGTTCTTGGTGTGGACGATGACATGCTGGGATGTTACAATTTCACCGTGCAGTTCATGCAGTTGAAGAAAAATAATGGCACGGTCGAACTCAGTTGTTACAGTTGGACCACCTGCTCTTCAAGATTCAACAAACGTCTTCATAAAAAAGAAGTTGGGAAACATGGGAAAGGCCTCATGTTCAGATGAAAAAAAACTGCAGTGTGACAGAAAATGAGACGATTGATATGGTTCACTTGGGGGGAGAACAAATACTGTACTGGGACACCACTGAAACTAGTGAAAGCTAAATCATGTTGTTGATCACTACACTGTGTACAATAATGAATCCCATTCTCCTATATTTGAATGTCAGACAAGTCGACCGTTGAGACAACTCGACTCGGGACAAGTCGACCGTTGAGACAACTCGACCGTTGAGACAGGTCGACCGTTGAGACAACTCGACTCGGGACAACTCGACCGTTGAGACTGCTCGACTTAATGGAAATGAATACACGTGGAGCAGAAAAAGTTGCACAAAATTCTGTGGCAAGACCGATCACGGGTGCGGCGCGGGCATACTCGATGTTGCGTCGGGCCCCGTCGCCCCGCCCGGCCTCGAAGACCGGGCCGGGCCCGGCACAAGGGCACGTCGACCGGCGCGGCAAATGGGCGCACAGGCCCGGCAAAAACGATGCCACCGTGCACGGTACGGCCACGTTGACCGGGGATGCGCGCACGTGGCCTTGAAAAAAAACGAACGATGTGCACGGACAATCACGCTGCGCTATATTGGCCCTGTTATATGCAACCAAAAAAACTCATGTGTCATCACTCCCAAACGGCGATCAGCCGCCGTCAAAATCCCCGGTACTATTCCCGAAACTAGGCCCAAAACATGCGAGGCGACTTGTCTCAACGGTCGACTTGTCTTTCCATTTATCGCACATACGGTCGAGTTGTCTCAACGGTCGAGTTGTCTCAATGGTCGACTTGTCCCGAGTCGAGTTGTCTCAACGGTCGACTTGTCTGACCCCCCTATATTTCCACAGCCATTAACAACGACGATCGTTTAATTAAATTGTTTAATTTCACATTCCTATTACTAGTGTATTTGTATTACGTATAAATTGTAGTAAAAACCCAAAATAAATATCTGCTTTCTCTACCTTTTTGTCATTCTGCCGCGTAAGATGCGTGGGTTTGTATGAGTCTGGGTCCCTGTCGTCGTCTTAGCGGATAATCAGAAATCAACATGTTTCCGTCTATTTATAATTGTGTGTCAAAAGAGGGCGCAAATAACACCACATCGTGCGCGTCGTCGTTGCAAACTGCAACTGCAAGGAGGAAGGGGGGGGGGGCGGGGAATCCTCCTCCCTTTGCACGAAGTTTCTTCATTGTTCAATCTGACGTCAAAACCTTTGAGCATGCAGGAACCGTCACTCGATTTTTGAATCCTCATAATTTTAGTGAACTTCCACATTAACAAATTAACACAATTTTGGATGAGCAAAATCTGCGAAATCTTGAGAAACACAATTTTGAAAGCTCTTATTATTATGTACATTTTTAAATACATGTATATTCCTTCGACCCCCTCCCCAATAGTGACATTCTATCCAGACAAATCAATGTATATAATTATGTGACGCATCAAGTGCAAAAACGTGCCGTATGCGACTGACGTCGCCGATCAACAACCAATCGAATCATATCCAGCTGTTCCGCTACTTGTCACCCACATTGTGCGCATGATACAATAAACATGCTCAAGGAATCAATACAGGAAGTTTATCAACAATGCATATTTATCTAGAGGAGGGCCGGTACGAGGCTATTAAGACTTGACAAATTCCACACCATCCGTGCTCGAAAGTTTAGTATTAAACGCCCTCGAAGGTTCGCAGCGTTTTGATTGTATATTGGTCATTGAAATAGATTTCCATAATATTTATTTAGGTCGACATATTTTGTTTTCAGGTCGACGAAAAAGAAAACAAAATCAATGGCTGCATTGTCATTTTATAGGCCTACGTACACTCTAAATTACTCATTTCACGGTTCCATAACCTGAGGCCAAGCGTTGCTTTCATTGTGCACTTGGTCTACTCGAAGGGCAGTGTAGATTGTCACAAGAATTGTCAAGGAAACAAAAAAGTATTGTTGGTTGTTGAAAGACACGAGGCAAGAATATTCCAAGGCATGTATATGTAATTTTGTGCGCATGCGGAATGGCTGACCCCAGTCAGCAGTTAAATCCGGCAAATGAGAATTCAAAGATAACATACCCCTCACCTTGCAATATCTCTAGATTTTTCTTTTCGCTCGGAAAAAAATTGCAATGCAATGCATGATATTCTAGTTAAATTAAATTCCGGTGTCTTAAAACATTTGGACTCTGGTCCATTTTTATTTTAGATGGACTCATAAGGCATTACAACCAATTATGCGTCCGTACATCATGTAGTCCGGATTTCACATTACACACATTTGAATAAACCATAAAGAAAAATCATATACCGCATTATTCTCAGTTATTGATTGATCATATTTCATCTGTTACCGTCCCGCGCACGCTGTTAGCAAAAAGCTTCGTTTTTTTTGTTCACTGAGGCCCCGCCCCCTTTTCGCAGTAATTATGAATAATGATGCACAATTTCGCGCACATGTGTTCATGAAAGTTTGGGAATTTAGCATTACAAATATTGTATCACGCACTGGCCGCCTGTCCTTATTGATTCATCAACGTGACACTAATGTTATCGTCCCGGGGGATTAAATATTGAAGTATTTTTCACCTTCCAAATTGCAGTAGGAAAAAAAAAAGGACAAGAGTGAGATGACGTCCAATATTTTAGCCGCAGAGAAACTGGGGAAGGGGGTGGGGTGGTCTCAAATCATAGGTGACGTAACATGAGAAACGGGGTCCGAAATCTCTAGTCATGGATTTCACAATTGTTTTAAAACATCTTTTTTTTACACTATAAATTCTGAGGCCGTGAGGGGGTGGGGAGCAAAAGGGGCACACGAAAGCATCGGATGGGAAGGGGGTGCCATTCGCCACTTCGAACTTTCCGAGGAAACATTTTTTTCCCCACAATGTTTGGTTGAAAAGAATACGATATGTTGATGGGAAAAAACCCGGATTTTACAAAACAGTTTTTCTCGGCAGATCAGCTTTGCTCGATACTATTTTAACCCCGTAGATCATTGTAGCCTTATGGCTCCGTATCTTGCCCTGTATAGGTGTACCATGGAGGATACGCGGGGTATATTATTAACGCAAAATACAGAACATTTTAACTATTTTAATTGTCCCTTGTGGCTAAAAACGACTCCAAAATACCCGTTTTTGATCCCTGAACCTGAGAACCTAATCTCCCTTAGTCCCAATGTCCCAGCTTTGGATTACAGTGATTTGAGGAAGTCGATCAATGAAAGTTCCATAAATAGCCACGGGCATGTTCAATATGGTTTTCCCATCACCATACACGATTAAGTTGCCGGGTCGGCTGGGCCCGGCCGATGCACGCAGGCCTCGGCGCACAACCTGCATCGTCAGCAACACTGCAACAGCTGATTGTCCATGGCCGCACACAAGGACGCTCAATACTCAAAAGCAAGAAACTATAATAACAAGAGCACATCGATATATTGAGTCTATTAAAATATTGGCAAAACAAGGACATATTTCACACTGCAGGTTGCGGCGTATAGGCAGGAAGTTGGCACAGTGGATGCAAGGTTGTACTCTGAGCCAGCTGGCGAGTCGTTCTCGAACACTTTGTGGTGGGAAGAAGTTCTGTCTCGTCTGAGCTACTCCATCGCGTGGATTCCGGTGGGCAGCTAACAATATACGTAACTCTACGGACACTGTGACATATCAGTATAGGCCCGATACCGGATAAAAGTGCGCTCCAAGATAATCTCCTAAATCAACTGATTACACAACTCGAAGGGAAACTTTGATCGCAGTTCACGTCAGATTACCCAACAGCGCTGGTGATCACGGACTCAGTGCTCCAATCTATTCTTGAACTTTCAAGAGCTGTAAAAAGTATACTGCCCCACCTGTTGTAAACAGGTGAAATTCTCAACTACGACAGGAACCATTCAGTCATCCTGCAAGTTCTGACACGTCGATAGCAAAAAGGTAAGGTATATTTTTCCAGTGAAAGGTCTAATTCCTTCCTCCATGATGTAGTATATAACCTCTGGTAATGCTCGCATGTCTGTTTCGAGTACAACACAAGGGGCGTGATATGTCTTGGTATACTACGGAGCTATACTCATGCCTTCATGGACTTCGTGCACGTCGTTAGCTATTTTCGGCGCCATAAATCATCGCTTCCCTGTCGCATTGATCAAGTGAGAAGGGTCATTGACCGAAACCTTATACCAAAAATAGGCACATCATGACATAACTCATAAGGCTCTTACACCTCCTATGGTCTATTCCTTAATATTTGGAATTCTATATAGACTTGTCGAGGGTCGTCCCTTCACCCTGCATAAAATGCTGTAAAATGTGTCATCCTTGCATGTTATACCATATCTCGTGACTGATAGCAAGAAATTCCCAGAGCAGAAGTAAGTATGTTCTTTTTTTAATCCTTATGGATATCAAATTTGGCCCAAATCATCGCAAGTACCTTGAGAATAGTGAGTGGACGCCGGAAAGGCTGCCATGGAATCTAGAAAACCATGTCTGAATTCTCCAGTCCAGCAGGCTCGATGGAGGGAAACTTTTTTTTACATTATGGGAAAATATCTGAAGACAGAGCACACAGTGACCTTTTATACCGGTACGTCGTGTAACTAACAGTGAGCAAAGAACATACTGCCGCCGCTATACAGGCCTACTTCACACCGGTTCTCAAGAGGTCAAAATAGTCCGTCATAATAAGAGAAAGGCTGCGTGTCATCCCCCATTATGCACGCCACTTCAAAAACTAAAAATATTAGCCCAATAAACTAATATGTACATTTTTATTTGACCTGTGCACTCTATACCCACCGCGCACCGCCGCCGTCGCCCCGCCCATTATATGCTGCAATGAATATGACTGACTTTGCCGACAGCACGTCTTCGAAATCTGCAACAAATTTATGCTAACCCTTAAGGAATACCTTGAAGTATTTTTGCCAGCCAGAGAGCGAACCTGCTTGGGAGAGGATATCTAAATTTATATCCACTCGCCAGGGCCTAGGGTTGGTTCGGTGTTATGATGTGCATCCGCCCTGGCATTGAAGTCCAACCGGGGCACTGTCTGGCATGTCTGGAGAGGAAATCTTCTTCATGGGACTTACCATCCGGTTATAGTCTGTAAAACCATGAGGCAAAAGGGAATGAAGTGGATATGACTGCCCGAGAGTGATATAAAAACGGTGGTTGTTCCAACTTTGCCTGGGTTATATAAACAATCCAGACGAGGCCTGGTACTAAAAAAAAACAAAAAAAAAACACCTTGATGTGTCACTGATTAATCTTATTATTACACTGATTAATCTTACCAATTACGCTTTTGTTCATAATGCAGCGCAGTTTCTCATTTTTTTTTTAATTGGATAATTGGCATTGCCAACCCGTGGTTGGTACCGCCGTACGGTACCCAACCATGACTGCCAAGGTCAAGCTGGTCGACGTTGCAAAGACAAAGTCATACTTGTTCATGTTCTCAAACATGTCATTCGATTGTTGAATATACAAAAGTACTAACAAAAGCGACCAAGAACTAACGAATTATCATTTTCCGCAACCATTAAAAAATTCTGACAGTAGGAAAGAATCACATTTTATCACAACGTGCAGTTGAAATAGAAATGGTAGGGCACTCAGCACGCAATGGAATGGTCGAGTATGTGTCACATCAACTACGCGTTGGAAATCGAAATCAATCGCTGGTAGCCTGCATAGCAAGGCTATGAAGTTTTGTAACAAAAATTACGAAACCAAGGAACCCGGCATTTACGTTACGTGAATTAGAAGCGGTGTGTACATGTATATGGCGACTCAGCACATCACTAGAATTAGAATCGAAACTCGACGCGTCGCAGTGGCATAAAAAATTGTGAGTTGTTTGACAACGTCAAAGGCGGTGTTCCGTTTTTATTGTATAGAGGATAGCCTTCTTCTGATCGTATTTACATTGAAGGGCATCATTTTCATAAAATGGCGAGGAAGCAACGAGGTACGTGTAGGAAGCATTTGTAATTTTGATATGCATTTTATGAATGAATGAAAATTGAAATGAAATACGATGTTTTTAAATTTTTCTGTTTCGAAAAAGAAAAACCGCACTGATCATGCAAATTTAGTAATTAAGTCTTGTCAAAGAAATTGGCCCTAGCAGTAGCACTAAAGAAAATTGACCCTTATTGACCCTTATTTCCAATATTAATTTACTAACGTTTAATATTAATATTTAAAATAGGTAATAATTGAATTTTGAAAGCGCAATGTTCTATTGAAATGCACACAATTTGCAGTATATTTTTTTTAATTTAAAATATCCTTGAGTCACCATAATCGGCGCAGGTAACGCTTGCAACATGCGCTCGTCGTCCAACACAAATTGAATGCGAGTGTGTCGAAATAGATCCTCGTCGTTTTAGGTGGACTGACGATACAGAAGATTGCAGCTCAATTTCATGTCATTTGTGGTAATCCTTACATGTATGTATCTTTAGGACACCTCTATTTTTTAGGAGTTCTGTTCAAAACTGACTTTTGCAGATGACTGTCCATTACCAAAGTGACTTTTGCAGGCTAAAGCAGTCTTTTTTCTTCATTTAAACTCATGTAAGTTGTAATTTTGAAAGCACTTTCAAAAAAAATGTGACTTTCCTACCTTTTTTGCAGTCAGATGTGCATGTTGTAGTTTTCACAACATGAGTGAAAGCCCTACATAATGTAAGCCCGATGCTGATTGGCTGCTAAAAAAAATTAATAAGATGTTTATTTTTATCAGCCAATCAGAGTAAGGATTACCTCATTTGTGTCACATTGTTGTTTATCATTTCTGTGTAGGCCCTATTCCTCCATCAACATCATCCATAGTTCAATAAGTTGAGTATCACCCGCTGTCCGTACGGAGCCCTATCTCCAGTCCAACGTCTGATAGTAAGAATGCAAATTTATGCAACCCCGCGCCAGCCAGCCAATCAGAGTCGACTTTACTCCAATACTAGTCTTTACTCGACTTAAACCAATATTAAATCGTGACGTCATTTCATTCCCAAATGTTGACTAAGATTGTGATTGGTCGATTCGGATGCAGTGTTTTTGAAATACAACAACGGCGGGGTGCGCATAGATCTTCAAAACCTACACGCGACGGTGATTGGGCAGCTCTATGATTGTTTAGTGTAACACATCGTTACAGAGCGCTTGACCTCAGAGTTTTTTGCTCAAAAATGCATATGATGTCATCAGTCCTATGGAAAGATCCACAACAGAACTTCACCGAGGTCAAATCTCGCTTAAAGTTTACTGTGGGAAAACGGCTGTGCATACCCTCTATTCACACTCACAGCGTAAAAAAGAATAATCTGAGTCTTGAGTGGTGATATCCTCATTCAGCTATGCAGCTATGCTAGATTTGTCTTGTGAATCCATCACACGACTTTTGTACCAATTCCAAGGTAGATTGTGGTTATGATAATTGATAGGTTCCATGAGCCATTTTTATTTAACACTGAATGCGTTGTAAATGTGACACATCAAACGACACATCAAACGACACAACAAATGCCATGATGCTTTGTGTAGTCCTAGACTTACTCTTCAATAAAAGCACTTACCGGTAGGGGCTGTACATTATGACATAGTTTAGTATTTGATTTATTCCAAGTTGGACTTAATAGAATATTTGATTTTGATCAAGTTAAACATGCGCAAGCCTAAAAGAGTGGTAAGAAAGATGTCTGCACTAGCAGGCGGTCGTGGATTCGAGTCCCACCCAAGAGATTTTTTCCAACTTTCACTTGAGAGGTAACACACTGAGTATAAAACCTAAGTTGATTAACATCACCCCGACCCATATTCATCTTATGAATAAATAATTACCAGTCGTGTGATAATGTGATTTACACGTAATTGACTTTTTTCCGTTATCAATCTGTGCACACTCTTGTTGCTCAATTATCCTTTTCCTTCCCTTGAAACGCTGTGCAGCTGCCAGCTGGTCTGTCAGTGTCAAGATATTCAGTAGAGAGTTTTCCTTGCTCTATAATAGTGAAATAGAGGTAGCCTACAATGCATGTATCTGAAACCTACCGGTAAAGGCACATGTGTTATGTGCAAATTTAGGGAACACCTCTCTTAAAGGGAATATACATCATTTGCTTTTGCTGTAATTTTCAGATATGGATGGAATTGGGGGGTTAGAAATATAAAGCAAATATAGTTACACTGACTTTTTGGAGGTTTTGGGTTCGAAAATGCTATAAAAACCAAGAAAAACGATCATTTTCCTGTAGTCTGGTTCCCTGACTCCATATAAGAAGAAACAGAGCAGTTAACATACATTGGGGAATTGTAAGGTCAGGGAACCAGTCTAGCTGGCTCGTACCCGTTCATGGGTTTGTAATCGATTGCAAACAAGTGCAATGGTCAATTGGGGCCAGTATTTGAAAAAAAGCCAGTTGTTTCCAACGCTGATCGGCCGATCAGCGTTGGAAATTGATACAAAAATACCACTTTTCTTGAAAATGACAGTATACCAGGTGCCATAATTTTACAGGATGCTTTAGACTGTCATTTACCAACATCCTATTAAGGTATTTCGCAAAAACTTGGTAGTTTTATTTTTCGATGTTTGCAAATGTTGTATATTCCCTTTAACACACAGAACATGTGGTATCTATTGTCCAGTTTTCGTTTGTAAAGGGGCAAACATAACTTTTTTAATTAAGGACCACAAAACTGTTAAGTAACTTTTAAATTGATGATTCTGCAAAAACTTTGTAAACTTGAGAGATAGTTTTGTAACTGAATTTCCTTTGCTGAACTTTTATGTTGGAGCCCTTAAAACGAGTTATCCTTAAAAGCGTGGGGCTGGGGGGGGGGGGGGATTCACAGATTTTACCCCCAGTTGTTTTAAATGTTTGCATACTTACAATGTACTAAGCATGAAAATATCTATAAATTGC